TCACTTTACAGGCCAAGGGAGCTGGCGTTTTTCCGGGTCATGTGGCCAGCATGACTAAGCTGTTTACCTTCCCGTTGGAGTGGTACCTACTGTTGTGGGGATTCAAACTGCCGACCTTCTGATCGGCAAGCCCAAGAAGCTCAGTGGTTTAGACCACAGAGCCACCCGCATCCCTCTACAAAGCTACTATTGAGGCCAGCCTTCCAGAAATCCTGGCATGTCGCTGATTATTTGAACAACAATTCCCATCACCCTTGACTATCTAGCTGTAGTGATTTAGTGATTGATGGAAGTTGTAGTCCAGTCATCTAGAAGGCACCACATAATGAAAAGCTGATTTAGACATTCTCTAATGACAAACAAATACATCAGCTGGCAGGAGGTTGATGCAATTGTAAGTCAGCGAAATTCTGTTCTTATAATTTAAATGGCTAAAAATTGTAGTTTGCTCTGGCCCACTTCCGCAGCTACTATAGGTACCATAGCACCCATTCCACATTTGTAGGAACTCAAGTCCTTTCGTGTGGCAGCCCCTACACTTTGGAACTCCCTGCCTGTTGACATCAGGCTTCACTGTATTACTTTTGACGTCTGCTAAAAACATTTTTTAGACAAGCTTAGAAAGTTGGTGCAAGCTTTAATCTGTTTTTAGTCTATTATTATTTTAACTTTTTGAAAGTCTTACATTGTTATTCATTATTCCCCAGGTTTCCCACCAGCCGGAGCTCAAATCAGGTGGGCACCATTGCCATTATAAGAGAACAAGCGAGGTGTTCATGGTGAGTTCCAGCACCTCTTTTTCTAGGAAAATAGCACTGGTTCTTCCTGTTGATAAAGTTTATTATTTTATCTTTTTTGTAAACGGATTTGAGGGCTTCCCCTCCCCCTTACAATCAAATGGTGTAAAAAAAATTTAATGAAACGAAAGATAAATAATTGTTTATCCTGACTTGCTGTGGGGCAGAGCTTAAGCCCTGCTTGCTCTGCCAGCAAAAGGGGAGAGATTATTGGACTGGGGTGAGCAGCAACCTGGGCAATCTAGGTTGCCAACTTACCCAAGTCAGGCCACAAGAGTGAAGTCGAAGCGGGTAAGAATCAACCAGGCAACATAAAAGGTGACCAATTTCTAGCAGTTAAGAGCCTTGCTCTGTTGGCCACCGTTAATCAACACAAGAGGGGTGGTGGTCACCCCACTGCCAAATTTCTGTGTCAGTGGTTAGGCTTGCGAACGTTTTTTCTCCTTTGATTTTAGGCAAATAGCTAGAAATTAAAAAGGCGAGATTTCCTGAGACTAAAATGCATGAAGAGGCGAAAGTGTCATCTGACACAATTTGGGCAGGGCACTACTAAAGGCACAACAGCCCTGTCAGGAAAAACACAAACAACAATGCCTGCTGGAGGGGGGGGACAGAGTGGACCTTTTGCATTGATCCCTGAGAACACTCTGAGATTTGTTGTGTTTCTCAGTATGTGACTAACCTTTGCAGATATGTTGGGCAGACCAATGGGCATGGCGGCTGGGAGCTGGAGTACAACAACTGGAGTTAAGAACCACTGTGGTGTAGTGGTGAGAGCAGTAATGGCCCCTCTATATGTGTAGTCAAAACATCTGCAGGCCACCACATGGCCTACCCCTGGGTTAGAACACTGGACTAGGCCAGTGTTTCCTAAACCTGGGTCTCCAGCTGGTTTTTGGACTACAATTCCCATCATCCCTGACTCCTGGTCCTGCTAGCTAGGGATGATGGGAGTTGTAGTCCAAAAAGTTTGGGAAACACTGGACTAGGCCCTTGCAGTCCTCTGTTCAAATCCTGAGAGCCTCAAGTTAGCCACCCCTGTTGCAAATGCAGTGGTACCTCGGGTTACATACGCTTCAGGTTACAGACTCCGCTAACCCAGAAATAGTACCTCAGGTTAAGAACTTTGCTTTAGGATGAGAACAGAAATCGTGTGGCGGCAGCAGCGGGAGGCTCCATTAGCTAAAGTGGTGCTTCAGGTTTCAGGTTAAGAACGGACCTCCAGAATGAATTAAGTACTTAACCCGAGGTACCACTGTGTTTCCACCATCTAAACACTGATGTGGATACTGAAAAAGTAGAAGCGATAAAAACAGTCTGAAGCAAACATATTTGCAGAAACAATTTTATTTTCTCCATAAATACAGTACAGGTACACTTTGTCATGAGGTTTACAGTCTAGACATAAAAAATAATAATACACACATTCCTATACTGGTGCAGGAGAAGAAATATATATATATAGAGAGAGAGAGGCACCAAGCGAAGACATTCAACATGTTCAGAGTTCCGCAAATTCCCTCCTTCCAACAGACTGGAGACACAAGATGTTGGCATCACCCCTACAACCAGTTCCTGAATCATCTGGTCTAATGGGTCTGTTCCCAGTGGGAAGAAGTTGCCGGAAAGACCCCTGGAGTGTTGCGACAGGGTTGGGGGGAACGCAACTCCTGTTGCTTTGCTTTCAGAATCATAATCATAGGATTGGACGTAACCCTAAGGGTCAGTCCAACCCCCCTGCAACACGTAAGAAAAACTACAAAGCCTTCCTCTATACAATCTACACATAGTCTTCCCCACTGGTGCCTTCAAGATGTTTAGAACTACTACTGTCCCGCCTCCCCACTGGCCATGCAGGCTGGGGAAGATGGGAGTTGTGGTGTTCCCAGCTGGGGAAGACTCATCTACAGCATAGCTTCTATTACCCGAGTTTGTGTTAAAACTCTTAGTCTAACGTTTGGTTCAAGCACAAAGGTTATCAGTTTTATATTGTCTTGCCTCATGTCCAGTACCAATAAATTTTACAGAGGAAAAGAGAAGCAGAAGAAGGAGCGTTGCGCAGCATAACTTCTTCTAAGTAGTGTCAACTTCCAACTTAATTCCACAGCAGGCCAAAAGTTACATGCGAGGAAAACAAATTTTCCTAATTACCAGGCAGATTCCCAAAGTCCCATAATTAGCATAATGAAAAGAGTGGGTGACTAGTGGAAAACCTCACTTGCTTGCACAAAACGCCCAGCTACTATGAAGTTAATTTGCAGCAGCAGAGTTGCAAAAAATAAAAAATCAGCAGATTCAGGGTGTCCCCAAATGTGCATAGAGAAATCTCCTTCTCCTACCCAGCTTGGCACAACATTTTAGGGACGAACCTGCAGCCCTCCAGAACTCCTTCCGCTGGCCTGGGGTGAGTACACTCTCAAATAATTATATGGTATAAGATCACTTGCTTTGTCCCTGTCAAAGGGAAATTATCCTGAAGTTCAAAAGGCACCATAGGACACAATGGATTCTTCACTTTTTTAATGCCATTTCAGATCTTGATCTTCTGAAGATGCTAAGGGGAGGTTGCAATGCAACATGATCTCTCACCTACCACAGGATGGGAGGCACCTGGGTAAAGGAGACTAGACTCACACTCAGAAGGCACTTCCCTTTGGACACAACTTAACTCACAGTTTACATTTTGTTCAAGGGTTCCTTCTGTTGCCTCTGAATGACATAATCTAGTTACTCCTCCACTTTTGCTCATTTCTCTAATATACGTAACTTTGGGATCTGTGCTGGCAGTTGTTAAAAACATGTACGACAGAAACACATTCATTTTTCAAACTTTTAAATGCATGTTTGAAATCGATCCCTGCAAAGTTTGCTACCTAGTGCTGCAATATTTATGTCAGCTCCCAAGAAACAAAATAATGCAAGTTACAGGTGTGTGTCTATATGTATGGGTATGAAAACCTGAAACCTTAGGTAAGAATCTATTATAATTTCTAAATGTGTGCAGAAGATTAATGAGAGTTTTCAGGAAAATGCAAGGTTTTCAACTTACAGGGTTGCTTTACTTTATTTAGAAAAGGACCCCAGTGTAACTATTATCTTGAGTAAGGCACTACATTCTTACATCAAAATATACAATTATTTTAAGAGAAAAAGCTGCTAACTTCTGGAATGAATCGATTATAGTCGAAGAAGGCATGTGGAAGAGGCAAAAATATGGTTTAGGGAAAACTCCCCAGCATGGCCACACAGAAAATCAAGTTTCTGTCTGGTGACACACCCTGCCACTTGCTTAGTTTAGCAGTAACTCCAGTCAAGCCAGCTGAATGGCTGCAGTTTAAATGGAACAGAACAGCAGAACAACATGGAGAAAAGGCTCACAGCTTGTTCACTGAAATCCTGAATGGGATGCATTATTCCTCATCCTGCTGCAAGGGTAGGAAGCCCTTTGACATATATGAAATAAACAGAAAACTCCCCTTACATCTTGGGGTATCTAACAAAAGGACAGAATGATATGAACAATAAGATGCATTTTTTTAAAAAACAAAAAAACGAGTGCAGGCACATTGTGGAAATCAACTTATTTTTTTCTAGTTCTGGAATGTTCTGTGAAAACGGACACTCTCATAAGGAGGGCAAGGAACGTGAAAAAAAAGTCGTCCCACCCTTTGGAGTCCCATACGTACAATGGTTCTCAGGGACCCCTGAATATTTGGGACACTTAAATGACACTCAAAAGTGACAGCACCATGTAATCATCTGGCAAAAAGAGAAACCTGGGAAGTAACAGGCTTTGTAAAAAGGCATTATGGACGTCAACGTCTAAATAAGGTCCTTACTTTCCTTACAACACAGGGTTGTTGTTTTTTAATAACAAAAAAAAAATACTGACATTTCAAAAATTTAGTGCATTTAGGAGCTTGGTTTAATTTTTATCCAGATGCTATCAGATCCAGTATTTTTAAAGAAACAGAAAGAAGGTATGGGAAAGAACCTTCTTAAAAAAACAACCCACAACTACTTTAATAATTTTGGAACAAAATATAAGTTAACCTGCCCATACCTTTGAGAAAATATATATATATACAAAACAGCAGAAAGCTCTGGCTTCCTTTACTATGATCTGCTTAAAAAAAAAAAAAGTTTCACAGGGGGAGGGGTACGGAGACGCTTCTTGCTAGTCTGCTTCAGCTTTCGATTTCTTCAGATGAGATACTCCACCATTTCTGCATCGTTGAGGTCCTGCCCCAAATTCTGAGCTGGGTTCTTCCTTTCTAGAGTGTTGGAATGGAAAACTGGTGTATCTATAAAGCAAGAGAAGGAAATAAGTTTAAAAGGTGGCGGTGTGTGTGTAAGTTTATAGGGGTGGTAGCCAATTGACAACTACTGTATTTTTCGCACCATAAGATGCACCTGATCATAAGACGCACCTAGTTTTTAGAGGGGGGATGCAAGAAAAAAAATATTCTTTAAAGGAAGCGCTGAGCAGAGCCTGTATGCACCCCAGGCTCTGCTCAGCACTCCCTTTCATGAGCCGCGTGGAGCATGTGTGTGGCACTTGTAGGCTTGTGGGCTGCCCTTCTCCTTCCTCGGGGAAAAACACCCAAGAACCGCACGCATGCTTCACACAGCTTTTTAAAGGGAGCGCGGCTCTTGGGGGCTTTTCCGGGAGGTGGGGGAAGGGACTGAGGGGCTAAGCCAGAAGCTAGAACAGCAAGAGGGAGCGCTGCGCAGAGATCCCTCTTGCTGTTCTGGCTTCTGGGATAGCTGCGCAGCCTGAATTCGCTCTGTAACACACACACACATTTCCCCTTACTTTTTAGGAGGGGAAAAGGTGCATCTTATAGAGCAAAAATATACTTTTCCAGCTCTTGTTTCCATCTAGCAAAATGCCTTCCAACTAGGGCTGCAATCTTTAAGTGATTTAACTAGTGAGATCAGCTGTTTCCCAACCTGGTGCCCTCCAAGTATTTTAGACGGCAACTCCCATCATCTCCAGCCAGTATGGCCCCTGGGCAGAATGTCACTTTAATTCATTGAAAGCCTTTAAATTATTGTTGTTCATTATTCTTAAGTCCTGGCTTAGCCAAGGGGAAAGTCCTCATTACCTGCTTTGTCCGAAGTGTAGGTCAGATTCATAGCAGGGAGCCTCCCCTGCACAGGAGGCAAGGCAGAGGAGGAAGAGGAGGCGGAGACCTTGCTTTGCTCACTTCCCCGGTCCGTCTGAGTGCTACAGTCTCGGCTGCCAGTCTTGGAGTGCGCAAACAGCAGCGGAGGGGAGGGGAGGATGGGCGAAGGAGTGGAAGGAATGGATTCGGAGCGGCATTCTGTTCCCAGCAGAACACCTGAAGGGGAGAAAAAGGACAAGGCAGTTGCACACCAGATGCATGATGCCAGCTTCGTCTTATATTCTGCTCCCTGGGAGCATCCCACAGCACCCAGTCTGTTAAGGCAATGTAGAGTTTTTTAATAATAAAAAAGAGCCAAAAGCCTTACTAAAGTATGCATTCCAGAGGGTCACAACACAAACACACACTTCCAACAGTACAACCTTAGGCAAGTGATTATAATGGCACAGCCAGAAGTACAGAGTGGGAAAAGATGCGTTTGTGCTGCTGTGTATGTGTTTCACTGTGATGGCTGTCGTGTTCCTCACTGCCCAAAGCAGGAAGATGTGTCCACCCCACCCCCTGCCGCAGGTGTGTAGTATTTGAGCCTGGTGTCAACATATTGGCACCAGAGAGAGAAAATTCCAGTGATTGGTCGAATACAGTGATAAATCAAGGGGTGGTGGTGGTGACATCATCATATCAAGATGGCAGTTTGAGTTGACTCTCCGTCACTTCCATGGGGACAAGTTCTAAAAACACATGCCCCCGATGTCAAAATTAAATTCTACCTATGGATAGGGCCGGTCCTGCAAGGCAGGATTTGATCTTTGATCAACTGGACTGCTCAGAGCCCATGTATGATATGTGAAAACACACATACACACAAACACATGTGTAAATCACCTAAGCTGCCCTTCCAGCTCTTGTCCTCTCTCTTATCTTCCAGAATGGGTGTGCTGCTCAGTGTTGAAGAATGGGAGAGCAAGCCTGAGCCAGTGTTGGAGATGGACATCAGGGATTTCGCTGGCCTCATGGAAGACAGCTGGTCAGTCTTGCTCGCCTCTTTCCTGGACCGCTGCTGGAGCACCTTAATCATGGCATCCTTCTCAATGATTTGAGCATGGAGTGTCTTGATCCTAGGACAGGGCAAAAGGACAGTCATCAATATATCAGTGATCCTGGGGCTTTTTCTGACTGCATCCCTCTTCCCAAATATTAAGAAAACTGGGCAGAGTTCATGGATCTGACAATAGGATGCTTGACAGCTCATGGGCTCTCGCAAATGAGCTGAGGGATGTCCTGCTACACTAAAGAAGACCCCAGATAATTTGTCCTGGTGTTGATGGGACTTGAGGTCCAAGAAACCATCAGGAGGGCACCAGGTTGGCAAGACTTTTCTTTAAATAATTTTTATTGTTTTGTAAATATAAAAGTTACAATTTTATCACTACAAACAAGAAAAATCTAACCAATGTGGAAACAGAAATTCAATCCCCCTTCCAAATAACATAAACGTTATTGATCCTGAAATGGTATGTTAACTACTCTCAATGTCCTTTATTAATCCACAGAGATAAATAACTACAAAATATCAGTTTATTAATATGTGTATGAAAATCGTAAAACAACAACAACCAACCACTTAATTCCTAGGAAAAAGGAATATTAAAACAACAATTGTATGTTAAAGAACTGATTATTAATAAGCCAAAAAGATAAGAGATAAATAAATAGATGAGAGAACAAATAGGAACAGGAATAATCAGATTATCATTTTAAATTAATATAAGCATTCATCAACTAACGCTTAAATTTCACGTGTTACAAATTTATACATAATGTGAAGGTGGCTGAATTTAATTAACGCTGGTATAAATATAATTGGCAAGACATGTCTGAAGCTCAATGGGGTTTCTAATCAGGGGCAAGAGAAAGAAGAGCCAGAGAAAAGATAAAGGTTCTTGAAAATGAAGCATTTTTTAATACTAAAAAAATCAAATTCCAAGAGGAGACTTGCTGGGCAGTGTTCAGACGTGGTTCAAAGCAATTCAATTTGATGCTGGACACAGAAGATGTTTACATGGAAGGAGGAACCAAGAAATATCTAGCTTTTACACTGTTATAGTTGCAACATAGCATTTGTTCCACATTTGTAAAAACTCACACTTTGGAACTCCCTGCCTCTTGACATCAGGCGGGTGCATTTTTGTATTTTTTTCAGCACCTGCTAAAAGATTTTTGTTTAGGCAAGCCTATCCAGATATGCAGAATGCTGAAATGTGATTTAAACTGGCTTATCATTTATTTTAATTGTGTTTTTAAATGGTATGAACACCTGTTTTTAACTGACAATCTTATTGTTTTTTGTTCTTTTTGTAAACTGGTTTGAGATTTGTTTGTTTTTACAATTTAGTATAGAAACTTTACGGGAGGGAGGGGAGTTGGGTATGTGCACACATGTCAAAGAAGTTATGCTCCTCTTCCATGGACCAAGTTATCCAATCCTGGGAGTGGAGGAGCCACCTGGCTAGCCAGAATCTCTTTCTCTGGTGTTGTACTACTAAGCCTGCTTGTGTTAAGTATCATTCCCACAAAAAGGGTTTTCTACAATCCTATGGATTGTGCAGCATATCAGTTTTGACTCCAGGAAAAAGGGTGTGGGTGTGTGAAGAGAAGAAACGTTTCCTATCCTAATTAATTATGTATTTAAAAACTGATACGAAAGAACAGCACAAGAAAAATGATCAAGCTGCAGTTTACCTTCCCTCCATGTCTAGGCATCTCCTGTTAGCCATCAGGATTTCCTCCTCTTCCTTCTGGATGCGGGCTTCAAGAGAGGTGTCATAACTGGCATTGGGCGAGTGGCTGATGACAGTGGTGTCCCTGAAAAACAAGCAGGACTAGTAGCTGGGCAGCGTGTTAGCAGGATCCCTACCCAACAGAACCCATTGCAGTGGAGCTCCTGCGTGTAACCAGTGGAGCTGAACCTCATCCAAATGCTAGCCAAACTCCTGTATCGGAAGAATCCCATGTTGCCACACAACGCAAGGTTTGGGTGGCTGCCGGATTGAGTTTTATTGAGAAATTTAGAAATACTAGCCCTTGTGGTTGTATGAAAAAGCACACAAGCTTTTATTACAAGCCAGGTTCATAATAATAAGATCCTGGAGGTTGCCCACTCTTTTTTTCTTTTTCTTTTTAAATATGTTTTACTAAGAGTATAACAGCGAATTGAAGTAAATAAGAACAAAAGGGGCAAAAAACGTTTTTAAAAGCGGAGGAAAACAACACTCTCTTCTAGAGGAGTGGTTACACAGCTTCTGCATCCTTTGCTGTCGTCTGAGGCTCAGGTGACCTCAGTGGCTTCCATCAGAATATGCTTCGGCCCTTGAAACAGACACGCCTTACTTGCACATCAGTCTACGGAGCCATACTCCATGAATGAAATGAAATGAATAAATAAAAACACTGTGGGGACGTGGGCTCTATAGATATTATTTCCTCTCCCCCGGTTTCTGTACTATCAACTCCACTTCCTACCTCTGGGCAGCAACTGTAGCTGCAGCATCCAATGCAAACTGCCTCATGACGCTTTCTTCCAGGTACTTCTGTTCCCACTTCGTCATATCTGCTTCCAGGGCAAGAATCCGTTCCTCCTTTTCCCGCAGAAGCTCCATAAGTGCTGTGGCGTTGTATTCAGAGACACTGGCCGGCTGAGACGTCCCCTGGCGCTGATGATAAAACGAGCCAATAAGAATGAAGGCTGCTGCCATATAAGAAATCCCCACTGAACACATTATTATTATTTTTGTTTCAGGATAAATATTTGTTGAAAAGTGCAAATACAATACAAATAATACAAAGGGAAAGAATACAATGAATTGAAAATGTAAACCTAGAAGGCCTTATTGCTGGCTACTCCCAGACTCTGGAACTCCCTCCCTAGAGAAGGCAAACTGGCTCCCTCCTTGCTGTCTTTCCACTGGCAGGTGAAAACTGTTTTATTCTGACAGTCTCTTGGGACTGACTGTGCTGTTTTTACCAATAGACCTGTTTTTATATTGCTTTAATTGTATTACAGTTTAATTATTTTTAAACTATCATCTTTCATGTTTTTAGCCTTCTGCATTTTATCAGAGTTGTTTTAATTTGTGTGAGTTGGCTTTTCCAGTCTGGGGGAAAGGTGGGATATAAATAAAGATAAAGATAAAGATAAACCATAGGACGTCGAAGCCTGTACAGTGCAGCCCCAGAAGGGATAACAAGGCATTGATTCATACAAATATTCCATTTATAAGTATCGAAGAAATGCAAAAATAAAAATGTTCTCCACCTGCAAGCTCCGTCATTATTGAAAGTAAAGGTTCTATAAAATTGTAGGTGTGCCTACACTGGGGACACTGAACGACTGTCCCACTGATCACATTATTATTACACTTGCTAACTCTGTGGCTTCCTGGAGAATAAAGTCTGATTCACCTAAGTCAGCCAAATGTTGGATTGCTTGGCAAGTTTGAAGTGTGCTAATTATCAGTTGTGGGACCAAGCCGTTCTGTGGCTCACTTGGACAGAACAGTTTTTATCCCCTAGTAAGAAAAATGCACACATCTCACCATGGGCTGAAAACCACGCAGTGGGACAACCTGACAACTGTTCAGCTGGAAGCTCTGCTTTGACACACACTAAATTCATTACATAACAGAGGCACTTCATGAACAGTGCAGGAAGCAGCAGAAGGAAAGGCGCCTGTGATGTGTCTCCTAACAGAAAACAAACGCTCACTCTTAAGTCGCTAACTAGGGCCAGTGGCACAGTGTCTGCTCCACATGCAGAAGGTCCTGGGTTCAATCCCATTTCCAGGTAGGGCTGGGAAAGATTCCCTGCCTGAAATGCTGGAGAGCTGCTGCCAGTCAGTGTAAACAATACTGAGCTAGAGGGACGAAGCAGCTGACGTGGTGTTAGGGTTAGGTTCCTGTGTGTGTTCACCTCCTTTCAAAAAAGCAGTCAGTTAAATAAGTTTCACTAGGGCTTTTTAAAAACCAGAAGCCCAGCTCCTCCTCCTCCTATTATTTATACCCTGCCCATTTGGCTGGGTTGCCTAAGTCACTTTAGGTGGCTCCCAACAGAATATTAAAAACATGATAAAAGATCAAACATTATAAACTTCCCTAAACAGGGCTGCCTTCAGATGTGCTCTAAAAGTCAGATAATTGTTTATTTCCTTGACGTCTGAAGTGGGGGGCATTCCACAGGGCGGGTGCCACTACTGAGAAGGCCCTCTGCCTGGTTCCCTGTAACTTGGCTTCTCGCAGCGAGAGAACTGCCAGAAGGCCCTGGATGATGGGGTGGAGACACTCCTTCAGGTTTACTGGGCCGAGGCCATTTAGGGCTTTAAAGGTCAGCACCAACACTTTCAATTGTGCTCGGAAACATACTCAGTTGGAAGGTGGTGTTCTGCTTAAGATCCTCTTACCTGCTGCATCCGGAGGGATTCAAGTTCCCTCTCCAGCCGTGTCCGCAGTCGGTGTTCCAGCTGTTCACGCTTCTCGCAGGCTGCCTGCAGCTGAACCAAGGCCTGCTGCATTTTCTCCACCTTCTCAACATAAACCTGCTTTTTCTTCAACTAAAAGGAAAAAAGGGTGGAGGGAGTGTAGGTGGTGAAGCTCCTTCAGTAACCAGAAGCATCACAACACCTGCTAGCTCCAGCAAGCCTTCGTCAAGAGCAGCAACCCAGATTCCCCCTCCCCCCAGTCATCCCAAAAGCACAGCAGGGGGAGGGCAACAACCACCCTTTTGCTGTCCCCCCAAATCAGGGGAAGGGCTGTAGCTCAGTGGTAAGGCACTGCATGCAGGACATTATAAGAACATAAGAAGAGGCAGCTGGGTCAGGTCAAAGGCCCAGGACTCTGTTCTCACACCCACTGACCAGCTGGGGAGTTTGCAAGGTGGTTTGGACTACAGTTCCCATCATCCCCAGCCAGGACAGTCCTATGTTGGTGGGGTTGGTGATGGGAGCACAGCTATCCTATCTGGGGCTGATGAGAATTGCAGTCTAAAACATCATTAATAATGATGATCACCACCACCACCACCAAGATGTCCCAGAACAGATGACAACAATTCAAACAATTTAGTATGGCAGCACCTACACCTTGGAACTCCCTGCCTATTGACATCAGGCAGGCGCCTTCACAGTGATTTTTGGCACCTGCTAAACATTATTATTCAGATAGGCCTACCCAACTGCTTAGAAACTTGACATTAAAACTTGACATGTTTTAATCTGTTCTTAGTCTATTGCTATTTTAACTTTCTGAAAATTCTAAATTATGGTGTTGATTTTTTGCATTGCTAATTTAATTGTTTTATCTTTTTTGTAAACTGATGTTCATTGCAGACACACTTTTAATTGATCAAACCCTTCTTAAACCAACTAAAGTAATTGATTCGAGCCAGCTAAACGTCACAGGCCTCTCCAAACGGTGAGCGCTTTCACTCCAAGAGCAGAAATAATTTTGCTTCAAGGAGATGCCTGCTTTGGCTGAAAAGTATTTCATCAGCCAAGTGCTTTGGTCTAGCATTACTTCTCTCTCCTCATTCCAAATCTTTTTATTGATTTTGCATTAATATACATTAAATGGACACAATTATATCCATACAAAGAAAAAATGCAAAAGTCTCCCACTGCCTCCTTCATATTCTATTGCATGATCATCACTCATGTTTGTTTAGCATCTATTTTTGCCATTTCTACAACAGGGATCTTCTGCATCAAATCATCATTGTCTCTGAAACCTGAAGGAGAAAGGACACGCACGAACATACCTTTAACAAAGGGAAAGCAATCAGGAAGTCAGATCTGTACTGATGCAGCCAACACATTCTGGATACATACGTAATGAATAGCCACCAACTGGCATAGAAAGTTTCCGGTTTCTTTTCCCCCTTCAATAATAATGCTACATCTTGAGTTATTTCTCTTGTATGTTCCTTCTCTTGTACGTATGTACTTGCTTATCTTTTGATTAGTGAATAAACCTGTATTCTGAATGGGAGGGGTTTGAGCATTGCTGAGTTGTTGCACAGAACCTTTGAGAACCAGACGTCACGAAGCGCCACCGTGCCTCAACAGCAACTCAAGCCAAACCCATCTGGTCAGTTCTTTCCCACTTTCTGTTTGCTTATTTTAAAATAAGTTATAACCCTCAAAGAGCACCTCTGGAAAATTACTCACAGACCAAAATGTTTTTTTGGTGTTTTTGTTTTTTTTAAAACAGTATAAAAACAACCCAGCAATTTCTGTGGCACTGCATATGCATGGGCCCTTGAAACACAAACACACTATAGACAGACATGTTATATCTATGGTGTTCTAGTCATAGAGTGTTGCACTAAGACCTGGGAATCCAGGGTTCAGTTCCCCACTATTAGCTATGAAGCTCACTGGGTGACCTTGGGGCAAATCACTGCCTTTCAGCCTAACCTACCTCACAGGGTTGTTGTGCAGATTAAATGGGGATGGGGGGGGGGAGAGCCGTGTATGCCACCTTGAGCTCCTTGGAGGGAAAGTTGGGATATAAATGCAATAAATGGGGAAAAAGATGAGTAAAAGGAATATTCTTGGGTGAGCACATCAACCATATTGCACTTGAGGCAGGGAATAAAATAATCACACACACACCACCAAAAAACACACAACCGCCCCCCCCCCAAAGCCTCCACGGAAACTGGAATTTGATCTGGTGATATCCCCCCCACCCCGTGCTTCCGAGAGAAGGAATAGCGGACTGACCTTCTCTATCAGTTCCGCTGACAGAAGATAACTATGTGGTGATTGATGATAGTAAGACAGATGGTCTGACTATTAAATCATTTTGTGAGATAAGAGCGATCAAATAGGAGAAACCTCAAACGCTTTGATCAAGGCTGTTCTCTGCTTCCTGCACCTGGGGGCTTGGATGGGTGACAGAATGAGACAGCAAGCTGAGGAGCTGACATTGTGCCCAAACGCCACGTAACAACCCTCTGGGGGTAAGAAAACCCGCATCCTCTCTTTCTTAAATACTTCTGGGACAAGAAAAATGCAAATTACAGAGATTTCTCTGCTGATTAAAATTTACAATCAGAAAACTTGTAACGGCCACTTCCTGTCTCTAAGAACAAAGGGGAAACTGGTGGTGGGAATTAATGGAGGTAAAGTTAATATTAAAGAAAAAACTTGGTTGATATTTACCAATAATAATAATCTGGGAACCCGACTTGGACTTTGGTGGGGGAAAAGAAAAGAATGATTCTGAGACGCTTTGACTTAAAAGAAATACTGTTTAACAGAAAGTGGAGAAGATGGATGTTATCATGGATTGAATGATTATTTCTTTTAAATGTAATTGGCAAATGGAAAATTGGAAGCCCGTTTTATCTATCTTTAATCTTTTCTTTCTTTCTTTCTTTCTTTCTTTCTTTCTTTCTCTCTCTCTCTCTCTCTCTCTCTGTTTCTATTTTTTCTTTGGAATCCTATGCTTGGGGCCTTTGTTAAGGTCCAGGGAATTAAGTATTCCTGTGGGTGGTGGATGGTTCATGGAGGACCCTGGGTGGGAGACAGGGAAGTGTTGCCCCTCCTCCCAGGGTGAGTGGCTGGAAGGAGAAAGGAAGGATCCCAGGTGAGAGATGAGAGGGACTGATATGTTGGGGGCGGGGCTGATAACTGCCTTTGGGGGCGGGGCTGATAATTGCCTTTGGGGGAGGAATCTATATTCTGCTTGTAGTTATAGTAGTGGCTATCTTATTGTATTGTGAAAAACTTTGATAAAAATATTTTTTATTTTAAGGAATTTGATGAAAGAAACGGAATTCATATCTTCCCATATAACAAAGGGAAAAGTTTGGCTACAACAACTGCAGACAATCGGAGAAAACCAGAATCTGAAAAGTATACTTTGAAACAAATACTATTAGCAGCTTGGATTTGATCACCACAATAGTTATTCGGTGGAAAGAAAGTAAATTAGAAAATGGCCATATTATCCCTGTTGATGCTGATCAAGAAACCTTCCCTTATTTTCAAAAATTCTTTTGGTGCATATTCTGCATAGTGACCCAAAGCACAAGATGTCTTCCCAGCGGGTCAAAAATTCCAAGCAATCATTCAGCCATAACTCTAGAGCTGCCACAGTTTGGGAATGAGTCCCAAGACGCTTGGCAATGTTTGTCTCGTAACAGAGATGAATCCTTCTCCAGCTCCTATTAAAATCTGGGTGAGAGAAGACTTCCAGGGCGCAGTCACAGAAAACAACCCCTCTCTTCAAAGGAGATGGGAAGACAACCAAGGCGGCTTTAAAAGGGGATTAGGGCAAATTCATGAAGGAGGAGAGGGCTACCAGCAACAATGGCTGTGCTCTGCCTCTACAGCTGGAGGCAGCAATGTTTCTGAGTATCTGGAATGCTTCTGAGTTGCTGGAAACTGCAGGAGTAGGGAGTGGTCTTGTCCCTGAATCCTGCTTGCTGGTTTCCCACAGGCAACTGTTTAGGAGAACAGGATGCTGTACTAGGTGGGCCACGGGTCTGATCCAGCAGGTTCTTATGTTTTTAATGCAGCTGCTCTGAAATCAGATAATCTAGCAGCTGCGACCATCCTCCATCATTTGTACTGAAAACACAATAGCACCAGCATTCCATTGCATGAGGGTTTCTTTCTTTTCTTTTCTTTTACAGCCTTGGTCACCCTGGTGCCCCCAAGATACCCTGGACCACAACAGCCATCAGTCCCTGGCCAGCCCAGTTCCCCCACCTGCACAATGAGCTGATGTAGCCCACCCCATCTACAAGCCCCCCGCCCCCCCCATTGCTACTTTTGGAAGCACGGAAAGAAAAAAAACAAGAGAAAGGAGGAGAGCACAGTTCCCCATTTTATTCCCCAAAAACCCAGCTGCGCAAAGACTGAAATCCTGCTGTCTCAGATGCACTGAAGAATAAGCATGCCACCGTCCAATTTTGTTATCTGGGCATCAGGAATGAAGCCACCCCACTCTACTTTATTTCCAAAAGCGAGCTCAGAGGCCCAACTGGACGCATAAAAACAGCCTTCACAATACTATGCCTAATCATCCTCTTAAAAAGGAGTCTGGAAAAGGTTAAGCAAGCAGAGGAGAGTCAAGGGAGCAAGAAAAGTGAAGAAGCAGCGTGAATAACACACACACACACACACACACACACACACACACACTCAATTATCTACACATGCCAAGAACACCACTTGGCAAAATCCTTCCTCTTTCGTAAGGCTAGATTGGAAATTATTTACCATTACGGGCTCAGAAATGTGGACTAAGCACACAAAGGATCTGGCCAAGCCACCTATAATAGCTTGATAACCAGTCAGTGCTAAAATCATAGGCCTAGTTCTTCTTTTCAGAACTCAAACACCCTTCACACAATGGTGTCTTGGAAAATTACAGTAAAAAAGAAAAGGGCAAGTCTTTTAGGGATTTTGGTTTCCTTAATAATGCTCAGTGAGCGTTTGAAGAAAGGGGGTCCGGCAGTCAAGCTGGCATCCTTAAGGACATTCCATTCTTACTGCCTTTTAGCAGTGCAGATCTTGTAAGTTTAACTGATGCACATTCATAGAAAAGCATCCACATTAATTTGCAAGAGGAATGAAAAGCACCAACCTGGCCCTTTGCAAGAGCTTTAAGCACAAACGCAGGTTGGCTAAAAATATGACAGTTGTCCACAGAGATGATGGGATCTCACTTATCTGAGATGAAAGCAGTGGAGGTTTTCCTTTTCAAAATGTTTTGTTTTTAAGGCCAATTTCCAAACTTTCTAAACTCTCCAAGGGACCTTTGCAGATATGACTAAACTGAGCAATACAGCTTTAACTATATTCTTTCATGATTCTCTTGAGATAGATAAAAAAAGCTTTTGTGCTGCCCCCAGGACATTATATGATGGGCATCTGGATAATTTGTATGGATTAATAAGAATCACTTACGCTACTGCGCAACTTGATATGACTTTCTTTGCTTTTCCATTAAAAGTCAATGTAGATGGCAGAATGCAAACACAAAAGTGTGAAACAAGAAACAGACTGAACATGTGATGAGAACCTCCAGCAGCTCCTCTGAGCTGGGGAATGGGGCCTTACCTCTTCTTCCAGTTTCACCACTTTGGCCTGAGCATTGTTCAAAGCCTGGTCGCGAATTTCAATGTGCCTCCTCTGTTCCTCATTAGCAGAGCGAACTCCAGCCAGCTCGATCTCTAGCTTCTCCTTCTCCCTCTGGGTTTCTTTGTCTGTCCGAATAAAGGGGGAGTGGAAGGAAAACTTTTTAAGAAAATGGGCAGAAGGGCAAGGAGAAAGATTGAGTCGTCTTCTGGGAAATCCATTTAAAATCTCTGTTTCTTTTAAAATGCGTGTCACCCTTCCTCATTCTACCTTTCCTCCAAGGAGTGCAAGGCAGTTGGCATGGTTCCCCCCTGACACCTTTATCCCTGCTACAACCATGTGACAGGCCTTGACACTGGTGGATCTCAAGTTCTAGTAAAAAAACAAATTACGATTCTGCAAGCCTGATGTTTGTCCACCTGTGTTTTATATATTAACAGCTTCAAAAATTGTAGGCCTTGCAGCAGATGTCGAATTCAGTGCCTCACCGTGTACAGAAAAGGACAATATACTGCTAGCAGGAGTGATTTCGCACACCTAATTCCCAGGAAGATTATCTGACTGCTTTGGTCAAGTCCAGCCTTCGCCCCATTCCTTAGCTACATGAACTCCACAGTGGAGTTTGCTACAAATGAGACAGACAACACCCATGCAAACAGATCCTAACTGTGCAATTCCTTGTTCGTGTTAAGGAAAGTCAATTCTGGTGTGCAAAAACAACGTTTTGTGCTAGTGATTTAGGATTTGGATGACTTCCACACAATATGCCTAGTGTGATTTGGGTTGGGTAATTGGAGGGAGAGAAGGGAGTCTTTCCCCACACAAGGGAATTGTGTAAATTGGACTTCAACTAAGGACATTTGATTTGGCTGAAGCAGGCGCGCACACACACACACACACACACACACACACACACACACGAGATAAATCCCAAATGGAATGGATTTGCTGCTTGCTTTAATCCAACAAGAAGTGTTCTACAAAGAATGAACTATCTGGAACCTCTGCAGTGAGGTGTCCAAACAAGACCCATTTTACGGGTTACTATGTTAAAAAACAAAACAGGATAATCCAGGCATGCCTAAGGCATGAGGTGGCGCGGCAGAAATGAAGAATGAATTCACCAAGGGTGCTGCTTTTTGTGGAGCTGCTGTGGTTCTCAGCATTCTACCAGTTGGATGCCAACACTGACTCAGCTGCAGAATACACACCTCTTGAATAAAATACATCCAGCCCTGACAACACAGGAGAAAGCACATTCCAAGCCGCGGCATCATCCCATGCCTAAGGAATTACACCAAGTCATTTTGTTAACAGAACCAGATTTTATCCAGCCAGCAGACAGGCTAAGCAGTGCCAGTCTTGCAGGTGTGGAGAGAATGGAAGCAGAAGATAATCACACACAGAATTTTACACTGTATTCACATTGAGATTTTAGTGGTAGGGCTCTGTTTATAAATGTTATAAAAGCGACCCTATAGATGTGAAGTATTTTCACACCCTACCGATTTGGAATGGGATGGTGCATCTCATTCAGTTAGCACTGGAATATCCATCAGTAATTAAAAAGATTGCAGGCGCTGGCGTTAAGGAGTATCTACAGCATTTTCCCCTTTCAAAACCAATTATGTTTCAGGAGCAAACCGGAGGAAGATGGATGCTGGTGCAAGACAAGCCTTGGGTCTGCTCCAGCAGGGGTCTTCCTAGATTCTTATCCCAACAGGTCCTGGCTCTACCTACAATGGCCAGTCAGATGCTTCCAGAAAGTCCACAAACAGGGGCATGAAAGAAAAAGTCCCCCGCCCCCCCGGTAGTCACTCCCTTGCAGCTAGCATTCAGTGATAGTCATGATGGCTGGGCTCAGGGGCAGCCTAGCAGCCACTGGCCAGGGAAGAACCATAGCTCGGTGGCACTGCACTTGCTTTGCAAGCACAAGGTCCTGGGTTCAATTCGCAGAAACTCCAGGAAGGGCTGGAATCTTGTCTAAAATCCTGGAAAGTTGCTACCAGTAAATGTAGACAGTAATGTGGACGCTACTGAGCAAAAAAAACCCCAAAACATTAAACAGCCCAACAATTTAAAACTTTCAAATATAATTGAAATCAACAATACAGTCATACCTTGGAAGTTGAACAGAATCTGCTCCAGATGTCCGTTCAACATACAAAATGTTCGACTTCCAAAGTGTGGCTTCTGATTGGCTGCAGGAAGCTCCAGAACCAATCAGAAGCTGTGGAAGCCCCATCGGATGTTCGGCTTCCAAAAGAACGTTTGAAAACCAGGACACTCACTTCTGGTTTTTGATTATTCAGGAGCCGGAACGTTTGACTCCCAAGGCGTTCGGGAGCCAAGGTACGCCTGTATGCTAAAAACCAGACTGAAGAACATCTCAGCATTCTGCATTCCTGGGTAGGCTTGTCTACACAAAAATGCTTTGAGTAGGTACCAAAAAGAGTGTAGCAAAGTCCTGGCTGGGAGCTATTTCTCACAAATGTGGAATGTGATTTAAGTGCCTGTTCTGTTGATCAAAGTGGCTGAGTGGACATTTATGGGGTAAGGTGATCTCGTAGGTCAACTGGTCTGAGTTGTTAAGGGCCCCCCTATATATTAATAGTAACACCTTGAACTTGGACTGATAGCAAATCAGTAACCAGTGGAGGTCTCTGAAGCAGAGGGTTTATATGCTGACAGGGTCTCACTCCCATCACTAATTGTGCCACAGCATTCTGCACTAACTGCAGCTTTTGGATCAAGCCCCACATAGACCACATTCTAGTAATCCTATCATGAAATAACAATTTTTTAAATCGCAATTTTAATTTTAATGCAACGGCAACACAGTTAGGTGCTGTCTACTGGGTGGAGCTCTGAGAACAATAAATCAGTATTTACCTTGCTTAAGTCCCGATACATTTCAGCCCAGCGGAAATGTCGTAAGAACCTGTAACATTGGTTTTTACTATAATCCATCTGCTCCTCCAGGCAGGGTTTGTAACCCAAGGCTAACTCTACACACACTAGCAAAGCAGCGGCATAGTATAGTTCTTCCTCAGAGGAAACACCAGCACCACCATCCATCCTGCTCTCCTGTCTGGATTGGCCTAGTTTCACCCAAGTGGCTACACGTTGGATTTATATTCAGTCTCAAGGACCCTGCACTTCAGAGGTGCCTGGAGAAAGACAAGTGGAGTGCTCCACTTGTCTTCTATTGCAAGCAAACCTCTAGGTGTTAACACTATAGCTCAGTGGTAGAGCATCCGCTCTGAGCGTGGTTCAATCCCCAGCATCTCCTGCAAGGTCTGGGCATGCTCCATGTCTGGAAGCCTGGAGGGCCACTATCAGTCAGTGTTGACAATACTGAGCTAGATGGACCAGTGTTCCACCTCAGGAGAAAGCAGCTTGTGTGTACTTGCCTGTGGCTTGTAGCTCAATTTTAATGCTTCTTTGCAGCAAAAAAAATGGGTTCGCTCATGTAGGGAAGGCTTAGTAAATTGCTCCCTTTGCATCAGTTCAATGAGCCAGAAATGAAATTCCTGCTGGCATCTCCAGGAAGAGCTGGGAGAGTCCTATAATCTCTCGCTTTATTCTGCACTATAGAACTATATCCAGTGCAATTTAGGAAAGGTAGCGGTAATGTGGGGGAGAACCAAGGGGTAGACAAATAAATGTTCAGGGGAAGTGTGAACGTGTGGAAGTCAAGAACTGTAGTGAGTAAAGGGTGGGAAAGAGAAACTGCTCATTACTATGAGCAGCACTGATTGCGCCTATTTTTTTTTTAAGATGCAAGCAGACACTGCCAGCATCTCACCATCTTATGCTTTGCTGAGCCATTCCCAAGCCTACCCACTGCTTGCCCTAGTGATTTCTGAACAGCTGTCACTTCAAGCCCACCTTTGCAACAGGCCTCAACCATATTAAAGGAGAAATTCAGACTCACTTTGTGCAAAGAGCTGGCAGATGGTTTTCTTGTTATCCTCAGAGCCTTCCTTCTCCGCAAGCTGCTTGTTGGCTGTTTCCATACGCTCTGCAGAAGAGAGGATAAATACATTTTACAGAATCCGCACAGCTAATTGCAGCCAGCATACTGTACGTTTTTCTAACACCAAGCTTCCTCAATCAGTCTGGTGCTCCAGCTGGAGCTGATACCAAGTTGCAGTGAGGTGGATAGCAATAAAAGATGACTGGATAAATTCACGGATGGTAAAGCTATCAATGGCTACTGGCCACAATGGAGGCTGGTTCTCATGGCTGAAGAAATAAGTGCCACAGCCGTCAGGCAACCAGGGGTGTCAGGCAACCAGGGGTGGTGAGGGGGCAGTGGGAGAGGAGGAGAGGTGCAGGGTCACTTTACTGGAGCACCTGAGAAACCAGCTGTTATTAGCCCTTCCTCCTCCTTGAACTGTTTATATCTCAGCAGCTCATTAGAAGATCTCTTCTGGTATCTGAGTTTGCTTATTTTCTCCTCCTTCCCCACTCATTTGCCTTTTCTGCTGTGTCTTTTAGATGGTGTGCCTGAGGACAGTGACAGTCTTTCTTTCTTTCTTTCTTTCTTTCTTTCTTTCTTTCTTTCTTTCTTTCTTTCTACAACTGATCTGTAAATCACCCTCCAAGACTTCTTTTCCGCTGAAGGGTGTAGTTAGAAAAAGCTATAAATAAATATAAGTTTTAAGCATAGAATTTCTCAAAACAGGCTAGAGAGCTTTTAGGTATGGCAAACTGCCACAATGGCACAATTCAACATCTGTGTTGCTACAACAGAGTGAGAAGACAGAGAATGCTGCACTTGGGTAGAAATCTCCCTTGAGCTGTGAAGCCTATCAGACAACCTGGAGTTCGTCACACGCTCTCAGCAGAACAGAGTGCCTGTGTGGAGTAGGGGTTAGAGTGTCGGACTAGGACCTAGGAGACCGGGGTTCAAATCCCCGCTCAACCATGAAGCTCACTGGGTGACTTTGGGCTAAGTCATTGTCTCTCAATCTAACCAACCTCACAGGGTTGTCGTGTGGATTAAATGAGCCAGAGAAGAACTATGTATAGCACCTTGAGCTCCTTGTGGGGGAAAGAAGGTGGGATATAAAATGAATGAATGAGTGAGTTCTCAGAGACTTCAGAGTTGCCATACAGCAAGTTTCGCAGGCGAGCACGATATCAATGTTTTCCCAGTCCAAGTTACTACACAGAGATGTTGTAAGGTGAGGCGTGCTAAGACTTGTAAGCCAATAAAAATTATTTACAAGGCAAATAAATAGTGTGGCATTAGAAGCAAAAATCTTTCTATCATGGTACTAATCTTAATTACATACATTAGTCAGTCATCAGCTATCAGTGCTAACACGTAGAGTATTTTAAATGTCTTTTTAATGCCTGTGTGTGCACTTCTGGAACCATCTGTCTGGAGAAATGCTGGTAGTCTTAGTGGCCAAAGGTGATTTTTATTAGCCTGCACAATAGCCATGGCTCTAACTGGAACACCTGTACCTGGAAGAAAACGACATTGGCATAATGTGTTGCTGGACTGCAACTCCTATCATCCTTGACCACTAGCTTTGCTGGCAGGGGCTGATGGGAGCTGGAGCCCAGCAACTCCAAGCCCAGGGAAGCCTCATGTATAAACTCATGTATAAACAGAAATTTACCTCTGAGGTCTCTATTGAAGTCATGCAGCCTTCGTATCTCTCCTTCCAGCTTGTTCCTCATGGTCTTCTCCAGAGTCTCCCGCTTTGTGGAAGACTTTTCCAGGTTATTGTAGGCTTCTGAAACTTGCTGAATTTCTGTTTCCAGCTGGAGCAAACAAGAAAAGAAAACTATGCATGCATTTTCTATCCTATCTATCTATCATCTATCTATCTATCTATCTATCTATCTATCTATCTATCATCTATCTATATCTATCATCATCTACCTATCTACCTATCCACTATATAACAGTATTTAGCATGAACATATACAGGCTTTCTGGTGGTAGTGGGCGAATGAATGACTAGACCTCATGCAAAAGAACGCAGATCACAACCATGCTGCAAACAGAACACCTTTCACTCAGTGAGCCAAAGGCACATGATACTGTTCTGGTACTGAAGCAAGCAGGTCTGGTCCTGAGAAAATTGGATGGGAGAAGGAGGGCCATAGCTCAATGATCAGAGCACCTGCTTTACATGCAAAAGGTCCCAGGTTCAAGCCCCAGCATCTCCAGGTAGGACTGGTAGAGACCCCGTGTCTGAAATCCTGGAGAGTTGCTGCCAGTCAGTGTGGACAATACTGAGTTAGGTTGACCAATGGATCAGACAAGTGGTCCATCTAGTTAGGCATCCCGTTCTCACAGTGGTCAACCAGATGCCTCAAAAGGAAGCCCACAAGCAAGAGCCCTCTCCCCTTCTGTGGTTTCCAGCAACTGGTATTCAGAAGCATTACTGCCTCCAACTGTGGAGGGCAGAGCATGACACCCTGGCTAGTAGCCATCAGTCGCCCTCTCCTCCATCCTTTGTCTAAACCTCTGTTAAAGCCATCCAAGTTGGTGTCCATCACTGCCTCCTGTGGGAGCAAGTTCCGTAGTTTAACTCTGTGCCGTGTAGAAGTCTTTTCTTTCGTCTGCCCTGAATCTTCCAACATTCAGCTTCACTGGATGCCCACAAGCCATCTTCAAATACCTAAAAGGCTGTCCCATGAAAGATGGAGTAAGCTTGTTTTCTCCTGCTCCCGAGAGAATGGCTTCAAGATTCTGACTAAACATCAGGAAGAACTTTCTCGTGGTAGGAGCTGCTCAATAGTGAAACAGACTCCCTCAGAAGGTAGTGGACTCTCCTTCCTTGGAGATTTTTAAGCAGAGGTTGGATAGCCATCTGTCATGGAGGCTTTAGTTGAGATTCTGCATTGCATGGGGTTGGACTAGATGACCCCAGGGTCCCTTCCAACTCTACAATTCTATGAAATGAGTCTCCTCCACCTTTCCAAAGAATGCAAAGTTTTGTGGGTCAATGAGAGGTGTTTCAACAAAAGCCACAATTTCTAGGACATGTGCAATAGGAAGCTGCCTTCTTGGTCAACGTGGCTCAAGTGTTATGATGCACGTTGACTGGAAGTTGTTCTCCAAGGATTCAGGCCAGACTTGCCCAGGCCTCTCTAGAGATGCTGCTGGGGGCTGAAGCCAGGACTCTTTCTGTACAAAGCAGGTCTCAGCCACTGGGCAAGGGTCTTCTGAAGCCATAAGCAAGACAGCAGCAGATGTACGTAAAAGCAAATGTGGTCCAACAGTATACATACAGGCTAAACCATGAAAAGGTGCTCCCAGTAGATGCTTGCACACAACAACCATGGTGATCTCTGGCTTCAGAAAAGAGCAATCAAAGTGATGAAGGGAATGCCATCACTCCCCTATGAGGAAAGGTGGCAACGTTTGGGACTTCTCAGTTCAGAGCAAAGGCGAATAAGAGGCCAAACAATAGGAGTTCATAAAATTATGCATGGCCTGGAGAAAGTGGATAGAGAATCGTTTTCCTCCCTGTCTCATAAAACTAGAACTTGCTGATATCTGATGAAGCTGAATGTTGGAAGAATGTTGGACAGATAAAAGAAAGTACTTCTTCACTCAGCGCATAGTTAAACTGTGGAACTCCCTCCCACAGGAGGCAGTGAGGGACAACAACTTGGATGGCTTAGAAAGAGGAATGGGCAAAATCATGGAGGATAAAGCTATCAACGGCTACTAGCCATGATGGAGACTGCACTTGGCCTCTGCGGTCAGAGGCAACAATGCTGTTGATGGAAACTGCAGGACAGGAGAGGGCTCTTGTGCTCAGGCCCGGCCTACAGATTCCATACAGGCATCTGGCTGGCCGCTGTGAGAACAGGATCCTGGACTTGGCAGGGCAGCGGTCTGAAGGGTGCTTCTTACACTCCTAAGAATGAAATACTAAATGGGGGTGGGATGGGGAGGTTCCACCAGCTCTTACCTTTTGGAGCCTGGCTACTTTCTCATAGCATCCTTCCAGCTCCTGGCGCAAAGCTCTGTTCTCATCAGAGAGGATCTCCACCATCTGCTGGGCCCTGGAGACAATGGCGAAAGGGTCGACAGGCATCTGCTGGTATGGGGAAGGGGTTGGCTGGGGCCTGCTGAGGGCCGAGTAGGAGTCCCCTTGCTGATGCTGATGATGTTGCTGCTGCATTTGCATCTGCTGCTGCTGCTGGAAATGCTGCTGTGGCTGCCCAACCACAGGCTGGCAGAGCCGGTAAAGCTCTCCCTGGTGGACATGGCTGGGCAGATAGAGCTGCTGGGTCCGTTGCTGGGAGAAAGGGTCTCCTTGGACAGGAGTGTTTGGAGGCTGGGAAGGAGACACCCTGGAGGGAGGCAGCGACTGCAGGAGCGTCATGGAGCCCAAGGAGGTGAGTGAAGACGTTGGGCTGTGGTGGTGAGGAGGCCTCTGCTGCAGCTGGTGCTCCGGGTTCTGCCTGCAAAGACCAACAAACACCAGTGGCTCACTTGGGCTGATCTGGCAAAGAGACAAAGTCATATGAACAGAGATGGGTGTGCGGTCAAGGCCTCTACAGCCTGGCCATATGATGCAGGGGGTGATGGGAGTTGTAGTCCAGCCTGCAGGGATTGCTGGGAGTTGTAGTCTGGCCTGGAGGGGCCGGTGGGCATTGTAGTCTGACCTAGAACCTGCACTGTACCACTTCAGATTGCAGGTGAAGATTCTGACCATGGAATTGTACCTGACCAAAAATGGTTCCTACGTATGAAGAGTTAGCAGGTCATGCAAAAAGCCTTCAACCTAGAGAACTCATTTTTAATGTTTAGGACTTTGTCCTTTTTTCCTGACATGCAGGAACTGTCAATCACATGGGTCTCCATGTGCAGTCTGAATTGGTACAGTCAGTTGGTACTGACTGACAACCTCAGTGAGAACTAGATGCTTGTTTGGCCCAGATACTGTATATTAATCTTCCATCAAATACAAATTAGCCTGAAAGCATAACCATTTCAGAAGCAAATAAAAAATTTTGAGGCTGGTTTAGAAAATTCCTTCTAGCACACCACAGGGGAAAAGAGTGATCAAAGTGCCCCACTGCAAAAACCTTTGTTCTCATGTTAAGGTTCAATGTCTGAACCTCCCAAAAATTTCTTACCTGCTGCATTCTGCATTTATATATATTTGTGAAAAATATTTTGCCTGCTGTTCTCCAGATGGAGAATAATAATTAAAAAAATAAAATGCAGTGAAAACATCAATACAACTATGTAAAGGAGACAGTGAGCATTCCCTCTCCCAAAAGATGTGGCAAACATTAAAAGCTTGTTTACAGTTTCCTTTGAAGAGACACAGCCCTGAATCTGCTGGATGCCATTCCGTTAGGGTACAGAAAAAGACATATGTGCTCCCTCAATTGCTACCCAGCAGCAATCATTCCATCAGGCTTCCTGAACTCTCCATACCAGCTGTCCGTTACAAGAACCTTAACTTTAGGAATGTAAACCTAAGGACAAAGGCTGCCTTACTACTCATTTTCATTAGCAGTTCTGGAAGTCCTTTCAGCTAAAGAACAGGGTAGAAATGCTATGAATGAATGAATGAATGAATAGGCCACTGGTTCTGTAATCTGTAGGCCGCCATCAAGGAAGCCCTCTTCACACAATGACCACCAGCATACAAAGAAAATAATCTAAGCAAGTTCTTAAAGAATGGGAAGGTCTCATATGGAAGAAGACACACCTTCAGCAATCAATGCTCAGGTTAAAAGCAGAGCTTCACCACCTTGAATTTCACCTGGTAACAAACTGGTTAGCAAGAGCAGCTCACACCAGCCCACGTGTTAGATGCTCTCTGTCAACAACACCAGAAATCACCTGCTAGCATATTGTCTGCTTAACACAAGAAAAGCCCTGCTGGATCAGGTCAGGGGTGCCAACTATAGGGGGCCCCAGGAGCCTGAGCACCCACAAAAATTTTGTTGTGGGTGCTCAGAACCCACATTGCTGGACCCCCAACACAACTTCCGGTGCCTCATGAAGCACCAGAATTCACGTCTGAGGCCTTGTGAGCCCTTGGAGATGTTAAACAGCATTGGGAACAGAGACCTTGCAAGACAGGATAGCTCAGTTGGTTAGAGCTGACAAGAGTGTAGTGCTAGTAACAGCAAGGTTTCAGGTATGATCCCTGCATGGGACAGCTGCATATTCCTGCATTGCAGGGGGTTGGACTAGATGACCCTCAGGGTCCCTTCCAACTCTATGATTCTAAGAGGGTTTCCATTTTATCTTAGAATAGTCTGTCCTACCGTGGCATTTGAAGCAATGTGTGCTGGTAAATGCCCCCTGGTAACTTCGTTCTTTTAAAAAATATTTTTAAAAATCACATGCAAGAGGGTTTGAATCTCACAATAGAGATTCTACGTCTAGAAGAGATGCTACTCAAAGACTGCCTGTCTGTCTAATAAATTTACTTATCTGGACAGACAGTTGTCCAGGCAGGGGGGGGGGACTGGGTATGCTAGTCCACAGCAAACAGCAATCTGGCATTCTGAGATCATGCATGTCCATTTACACACATCTATGCGTGCCAGAGAGATATGACAGACATCTGCCACTCCGAGATGCAGATTCTAAGGAGTTGGAGGAAGGGACTCAGTTTATTGGGAAATAAACATTACAAAAAGAGATATTTGAATTTCCCTTAAGTACAAGAAGAGGATTAACAATGGAGGTACCTTCAACAAGGATTATCCCTAACACCACAAGATGCGACTAGAACACATGCAGATGACCACTATATATGGTAGGACAGGACAGAAGGTAGATTGGGATCTACCAACAGATCTCCAAGCAACAAAAAGCTTTTGTCCCTTATGAAGAAACACTCTGGCAAGACCCAGGAATGGAATATTTCTTGGCGGATAAAAAGAATACCAACGTTAATGACCAAGTTTTGCTTCTCAGCTGAAAGGTCTCCGAAGATGAAACACTCATGTTAATTGCAAATTGTATCTCATGTTTTATTTTCCATATCATATAGTATTTTAAATATGTGCATATCTTATCTTTTGCATCATACTGAATTTTAAACAAGGAAATGTTTTAATTAATCTTCAACATTTCTATTCTTTGTATGCTCTGGGTCTGTGACGGGATAATAAATCACAGAATCATGAAAAGTCAGAAGAGACCACAAGGTCATCCAGTCGTACCCTCTGCAATGCAAGAATCTAGCTAAAGAATCTCTAACAAGATGGCCATCCAACCTCTGCTTGAAAGCCTTCAAAGAAGAGGAGCCTACTACTTTCCAAGGTAAGTCCACCCCACTATCAAATAGCTCTGACTGTCATAAAGTTCCTTCTGATGTTTAGTTGGAATCTCCTTTCTTGTAACTCAAAGCCACTGGTTTGTGTCCTACCCCCTGTAGCAGTAGAAAACAAGCTGGCTCCATCTCCTATGTGACAGCCGTTCAGATAATTGAATATGGCTATCATGTCTTAGAACATCAGTTTTCTCTTCTCCAGGCTAAACAAACCCCACACCCTCAATCATTAATGACTGATCAATTGACAAAAATCCTGCCCAAACCATCTAAAGACTAAGCAGCAGTAGCGGATTCTGTGACCTAGTCATGATTTGTGGGCTAAGCAAATGCCCAGAGGAACCCTGGTCCTTAAATCTATGTTCTGCTCCTGCACACACACAAAGCACACACATCACATAAAAAAAAGCACATCAGGCAAAAGCCACTATATGGGACCTGGTTCCAGTTAGTGGATCACAGGGTTCTAGTCAGAAAAACATAAAGGATTCCACAAAACCATATAGTGCCTGGTCTGGTCTATGGAAGCTACTCCTCCGACTCCAAAAAATCGAGGGAGAATGAGACACAGTTTATTGTATTCATTATTGATCTAATTATCTCATTTATAACTCACCTTTCCTGCAAGGAGTTCAAGGTGACATGCATAGTCTTTCTCCTCCCCATTTTATCCTCAGAGCAACCCTGCAAGGTAGGTCCAGCTGACAAGGAGTGACTGGCCCAAGATCACCCAGTAAGCTTCATGGCCAACTGGTGATTTGAACTCTGGTCTCCCAGGTCCTAGTCCGACACTCCAGCTACCACACCACAACTGGCTCAATTTCTCCTCCAAACAGTAAAGGAAGAGGTGGGTGTGGTTTCAGCAAAGAGAAAAGGGTCCGTGTGCCCCCTTAAATTTGTCAGGAACCACATTAAGTCTTATATGCAAACTCAACCCTGCTGAATTCATAGCCGTGACAGATGGTCTGGGACTGCAGAAAGGAGGCGAAAGGACAGTCTTGCCCTGTCCATTGGCCGAAGGAACAACAACCACTAGCCAGCTGTTTATTAGGCAAGATCGGCGAGAGAAGATCAGCTTGACCTGAACCAAATATAAATACATAATAGCTTAGCAGTTCATTGCAGTCTTGAACAGTTGAACCCTGCCCTACATATTTTGCAAGCTTTGTCTTCTTAGTCTGAAGTCAGATACTTCTTCTTCTTCTTCTTCTTCTTCTTCTTATTATTATTAATGCTAAGGAGTTGCTTTGGGGGACAGTAACGTTAACATTTGCTGATATTTTGTGAGCACAGTATTATTTCAAAGTACCCTATGCAAAATGAATTACTGGTTCATTTTGGATTCTGTTCGCTTTTAGCTATGCTTTGTGTACATCTTATGGGCATTGAACTAATGTGACTTCAATCATACGCAGCTGAAGACTGACGGGTTGAAATTCTGCAAGATAAAGGTGGAGAGCTTCAAAGCTCTTTTTGCACTAGGTTTTCCTGGAGCAAAAATATCCTTTCAGCTCTCAGCCTTGTTTGGGGGGACAAGGCCCTGCTTGTCACGTTGGTTCTGGGATGCACTCACGAGATCTCACAGGGCTGTTTTGAGATCCCAGGAGATTTCACATTAGCAGGGCCCTCTCAGCACAGTCACTCTGGAAAGTTGAGATGCTCATATGGAGGAAGGTTGAGTATACAGTCATACCTTGGAAGTCGAACGGAATCTGTTCCGGAAGCCCTTTCGACTTCCAAAACCAAAGCTCAGCTTCCGATTAGCTACAGGAAGCTCTTGCAGCCAATCGGAAGCAGTGTCGGACATTCGGCTTCCAAAAATAGTTCGCAAACCGGAACAGTCACGTCTGGGTTTGCGGCGTTCAGGAGCCAAAATGTTTGAGAACTAAGCTGTTTGAAAACCAAGGTACAACTGTACACATTTTTGTGCACATATTGAACCCCTGGAACCAAACCACTGCATAAAATACAACTGTACTGTAGTTATAGGGTGGAAATATGGGGTGGTGTTTTTTTTTAATATTTTGGTTGTAAATAACCTCTAGTACAGTAATAATTAACAATGAAAATGAACTGAATGGCAAAAAGTATGCAGCCTACAAGTGCTCTCAGCTGCTCTGAGCTCTTGGTTGGAGGGCAAGGAATTTATTTCTAAGTTTTAGGTGTTCTTAGTCCGCTGCTGCCCTGCTTCCATTGCATAATATTACCTGAATTAATTAATTGCCACCTGAGTCTCACTTCCACACCCCCATTGCTGCTGCTATTGCCTCCCTCCACAAATTACAAGTTAGGAATTATGTGTTTAAGTCTTCTTACTGTTCTTCTGTTACAACTGTCTTCACAATGGGGGTTATTCAGGTTAAAAAGAAGGGAGGAGTGAATCCTTGTACATACTATAGAGGTGAAATTTTAGCTGCTTCTGGCAAAAAAAGCATTCTAAAGTTCTCCTAAAAAGAGGGAAATGAAGTCATGTGAATATTTAAATTCAAATATGCAGAACGGGATTCACAGCCCAAAAGGAAGAAATGCTTCACCAGAAGATACAGATTTTGCATTAAATCGGTGTGCTGATTTATAAGCATAGAGACAGATTTAGAATTGATTGCTATGATTTAAATAAAAATATGGTGAATCTGACCATGGGGAGTGGAGGAGACTGTGCTACCCCAATGCAGAAAAAAATGCTCCAAGACAAGAAATAACTCTAATACACTAACACCCAAAGGCTGTCTGTTGATTGAAGTTCCCATAGAAAATGAGCCTCTAGGAAAGGACATTATTAACATTAATAGTAGCGGTAGTAGTATATTTTATTATCATAATCATGAGCAATCTGTCAGTTTCTAAACCACCATCTCAAAGTGATTTAAACAAGTTAAAAACAGCAAGTGCATTTAGAACAAGACTAAAACCCTAACAGAAAACCTTTCGAATCAACGATATCTTTTGATTGTTTATAGAAAGTGCAGGCAGTTGGCGATTACAGGGATGCTATTCCGTAGGGATGCTATTTGCAAGTGTAAGTGCAGGATGTATTAATCACCCTGTCTTCCGGTGGTTAGGGCAGAAAAATACTGTATTGGGATGAGATGGGTAAAGATTAAATAATACATGAGAGGTTCAGGTCTTTGAATAATCAAAGGAAGGGTGGGGAGCCTGTGGCCCTCCTGAAGTTGTTGCCTTCCAACCTCCATCAGCTCCAGCCAGCACTGAGAGTCACAGGTTGGCCTGATTTAAGGGTCCTAAACAGGAACCGAAAAGCAGAGTATTTAGGAAAACGCAGAGATTGGTTTTCCTGCATGAAAGAAACCAAAGGCTTCCTGAACTGTTTTTGAAGGCTGGTTCCGTAAACTCAGCCCCAATGCCCCCTGCCCTATAAAAAGCATGATTCAGAATAGCGGTTTGCACATTCCACTAAGGAAGGTAACAAGACAATGAAAATTCAGAACAGCAATGATTAATCGCACATTTATTCAAAATGCAATTGAAACTATTCAGTTTAATTAATTTAACAAAACTGATGAACTTGATCTGGTGATACCAGTTTTTTGAAGTCTGACAGTCAGTGAAACCTCCAGCGCCTCCCTGCCTGTTAGCACTCCCTGGGGTGTGGGTATGTGCTATTGCCCACTTGGGGAACCACTGAACTAAAGTGTCCAATCAGCTCAAGGACTACTGTTAGCACAACAAGGCATCTCCCTCTCTATGTCTCATGTTCCCTGCCCTGCATCTTTATTTTATTTCTTTCTTTATTACATTTATAAACTCCCTTTACCTTCCAAGGAGCTCAGGGTGGTGTAGATGGTTCTCCTCCTCCTCATTTCATCCTCACAACAACCCTGTGAGGTAGGTTAGGCCAAGAGATGCTGACTGGCCCAAAGTCACCCAGTGAGCTTCATGGCTGAGTGGGGATTTGAACCCTGCTCTCTCAGGTCACAGTCCCACACCCTAATCATTACTCCACACTGGCTCCAGAGGACTGAATGAACTCCAGAATAGATTTAGGGGGGGGGGAGAGAAGAAGTGGGAAAGTTCCGCTGTGCAAGGAGAAATCTTTGCGCCAACAGAACTACTGACTTAGCACTACCCTGACTTAGCACAAACCCAATTTATGTTTTTACGCAAAAAAGAACCTAAGAGCAAAGTGCTCACCACTTTTGAAAGACACCATGCAAAATAGTGTTTTTTTCCTCCTCAGGGCTGGACGCCACCTTCTTGGCAAGTAGACCTAGACTTCCACAAAGCTGCTCAACTACATACCAGGGGAGAGGATGTTTTTCATCTTTGTGGGTTTGAATGCCTCAAGCTCTGATGACCCTGTGCATCGGGAAGGCTCACTGCCTGATCTCACACAGAGTTAGGCATCTGGTTTAGGCAATTATTCATAGGTCTGACTTTCAGAGCAGAGCGGAAGACATGACTTTAGCTGTTAGTTGGTGGTCTCCAATTCTGGCGAACTTAGCAACACAACTGGTCACTTTCCTTCAAGATGGCGTTCCCGTATAGTTGTGCCATGCCAATCCTTAAGAAAAGTGATCGCTCAGAGCCCTGGAGCTACAGACCTACCAGTCTTTTAGATGTAATCTCTAAACTATATAAGATGTAGTCTCTAAACTATATAAGTTAACTAAATAAGTTACAAGAATGGGATAGGAAACAATCTGTGAAAAAACAAGCAGGTTTCATGCAGGGCAGGAGTACTGTAGACCAGACTTATCAGCAAATTTGTGAAGACACCAACAATCCAAACAAGTTCATTTTTATAGCCACTGTTCATGTTCATCAGCCTTTAATTTAACAGAGAGTGATTATAGCATAAACATTGATAAAATAATACTCTGGTTATTCAGTTACAACATCAAGAGAATTATTTACCTTATCACGAGCATTTCTTATCAAGCAAGGAATGAAACAAGGCTATATTTTGGCGTAATTTCTAGTAACTATTAACTATTTAAATCCAGGTACAGTGGTACCTCTAGATGAGAACAGGATCCGTTCCGGAGCCCCGTTCGCATTTAGAAGCAAACGTAACCCGTGTCCGCGCATCTGCGCGGGTCACGTTTCGGTGCTTCTGCGCATGGCGTCATTTTGAGCGTCTGCGCATGCGCAAGCGGCGAAACCCGCAAGTAACACACTCCGTTACTTCCGGGTTGCCGCGGAGTGCAACTCAAACACGCTCATCCCGAAGCACATTCAACCCGAGGTATGGCTGTACGGCTTTCCCCTTCCTACTTTCCCCCTTCAATTGGAAATTGTAATTTGTCTGAAATGCTTTGGGCTGATGACCTGGTCTTGCTCTCCTCGAACAGAACAGGCTTTAAAGGAACATTAACCAAATTTGGGCAACTCTGTAAAAGAAGATCAGCTGGCAGTAAACAATAGGAAAACTAAGGCCATTAGACATAGGAAGAAGGCACCTAAGTTCAGGTGGTCATTAGATGGGCATGCCCTTGAACAGATCCACATGATGAGAAACTCTTATGGGTGCAATTAAATTACTGCATGCCAGGTCCATACAAAAGGCGGCTAATTAATCGATACTGCTCTTGAGATCTTTGTGGCTAAAATCATAGCACAAATGTTACGTGGGGCATAAACTTGGGGAATAGGAGCCAAATCTGAGCTGGAAATTCTGCAGAATAAGTTTATGAAGCAGACACGGGAGCCTTGAGCTTGGTCCTTCATCGATTGCAGCTAGAATCTGTTTAGAGTACATCAGCTATTGTCATAGACTAAACAGCCTGGAACGCTAAGCTTTGCTGGTTGGAGCATTTGAAACGCTATTTCACTGTTATAATTTTTGTGTTCTTCCATGTAAGAGATCTATTAAATAGTACTCCTATTGCAAGCCCCCCAGGACCTTAGGATGATGGGTAAAGGTAAAGGTACCCCTGCCCATACGGGCCAGTCGTGTCCGACTCTAGGGTTGTGCGCCCATCTCACTTAAGAGGCCAGGGGCCAGCGCTGTCCGAAGACACTTCCGGGTCACGTGGCCAGCATGACAAGCTGCATCTGGCGAGCCAGTGCAGCACACGGAAACGCCGTTTACCTTCCCGCTAGTAAGCGGTCCCTATTTATCTACTTGCACCCGGGGGTGCTTTCGAACTGCTAGGTTGGCAGGCGCTGGGACTGAGCAACGGGAGCGCACCCCGCCACGGGGATTCGAACCGCCGATCTGACGATCGGCAAGTCCTAGGCGCTGAGGTTTTACCCACAGCGCCACCCGCGTCCCTAGGATGATGGGTAGGCAATAAATAAAATAAAATAATTAATGAAAATAATAATAATAAAGTTGTTGAGTTTTTCTTTTAAGGAAAACCTCAGAATCCAAAATCCCCCCCCCCCCAGATAAATGGCAGCCCTAAATAAAAGATAGACAAAGGATTTGTAATCTCCCCATGCGGAAATATCTTAGTCCCCATGTTCTCAGGAACTGGATTTTGGATCATGATGTTGATCAAGACAAAGCATCTGTGGTTGATGCTTTTCCCCCCCCGTCTGGTACACCTAAAATCAAGATCAATCATTCAAGGCGCCGTTATTTCTATTCACAGCTCCTCGGAGCTTTTACAAAACCTAGGTTTCGGCAGATGCCCTCAGCATATTTGGACAGGAGACACCTTGGAATCTCAGTTGCAGAATGGATATGGATATTCAGTTGTAATCAGATCTAAAATATTATGCATATCTCCATGCATATCTGCTTTTCTTTTATTGATTTGATAATTGCAATGAAGTGCAGACATAACAAAGAATCAAAAATTTAAGCCATTAAGTGCCGCAGCATGGAAGGACAAAAGTACAAAGCTATAGTACAGGTCCAAAGAAATAATAAAGTATTAACTTATACAAATATTCCTTTTACAAATAATAAAGATTTATAAAAATAAAAGTATTATGCACCTATGGATAATAAAATTATTCTCATTATTGAGAATAAAGATTATATATAGTCTTTAGGAATAAAATTTGCGTAAGAAATAAAATTTGCTGTTCTGCCCTTTCCATTTGGAGCCCAAAGAGAGATATTTATCCCCTATTCTTCAACTGTATTCAGAATGTCTAGCTGATAAACACATTACACATTCGGTAGCTAAACTTGCACTGTCAAGAATTATCATGTATTATAAATCTTAACACAATGTTTCGTTACCCTTGCTGGATGGCACACATGGCTACTAATGGTTGTCCTGTGACTTTCTGCAACATGCATCTCCTTTAATTCATGCATTGCTTTAGAAACTATATAATTTTTGTACTGGAAATGCCTTTGGCTGTGTTCAATAAAGCTGACTGTCAGCGCAGCAGCAGCAGCAGTAGCAGCTGGTGGCTCCCTTGCTCAATGGGAGGAAAAGGCACTCTGCATGTGCTCAGGTAAACTCTTTTAATATTCCCACTGGCTAGAATATTGGACACAATTTGCTGACTGGGACAAATAAATAAATTCTGGTCCAAGCTGGGCAGCAATCATAGTTCTCATTTCATAGAGTCACAGAATTGAAGAGTTGGAAGGCCCCCAAATGATTATCCAGTCGAACCCCCTCTGCAATGCAAACTTTTCTGCAAAGACAAAATTTAGAATACATCAACCAACAATCAGAAAGGGGGGGGGAGTCCTTTCCTGCTGCTCTTCAATCTCTATTCAGAGGTATTATACAACTAATTTCAAATCATGCATGCAAACCAAAGCTTAAAACAGAGAAGCAGCGCAGAATTCATCCAGCAAAACCCCATCAGTGGTCTACCTGCAATCTGAAAAATGCACAGAACTTTCGTTGATATTTGGGACAACTCACATGTCGTATCGTGAAGTGTAGAAGGTAACAGAGTCACTCCTGGATGGGAGAACACGTTTCTTCAGTGAAACAAAGCAGCCGGTAAGCCTAGGCTTACATTTCCAATCTTTGGAGGCACCAGATTTGGAAAAAAAACGCTCCATCATCAATGCCTGAGCCAAAAGCACAGCAAGAATCCTATAGACTCAAGAACACCAGACTCTTCCCTCCGCAAGTGAGGCAAGTGTGGAACCAATGTGGAAGGAAAACGCCTATGCGTCCATACAACAAGAGAGAGACAGACAGACAGAGAGAGATATCTCAGTGCCTCTCCAAGAACACATACCAAGGGGGATGTACACGGTCAAGGCAACAACTGACATCAGGCATGCGCCTTCCCTGTACTCCTTTTGGCGAAGGCTAGAAGCATTTTTGTTTAGGCAAGCCTATCTAGATATGTGGAATGCTGAAATGCAATTTAGTTATATTTCAGCTCAATCGTCAATTTTAACTGTATTTTGAATTATTATTTTTGTAAACAAACAAACAGATGCTTACGACTTTGTCCCATGTCCATTGTTTTAATGCTTTGTTCTCCTGTAGAATGATTCTATTTGCTGTCAAGAAGGCAAGAGCCAGTGTGGGGATGAGGACCTGGAAGAGACCAGGACTCAAATCTCACCCACCTACCCACTTGGCCGTGAATCTCATTAAGTGAGGGGCAGAGCTATGCACACCACACCTTGAGCTCTTTAAGAGGAAAAGGTAGGATGGAAATGCAATGAATAAATGACTGAACTGATTGATTTTAAACCCTACTCAGCATATCTGGACAATGTGTTTTGTGTGCTTCTTACATTGATCATAACAATAAAGATTTGAAGACAGAAAGGATAGTTTGTTTATATATCACATTTAGATCCCTTCTTTTTTCCTCCAAGGAGCGAAAGGTGGCACACATGGTTATCCCCCTCCTCATTTAACGCCCACTACAATCTTGTGAGGTAGGTTAGGCTATAAGAGGCAGTGACCGGGGCTCCATGGCCAAGTGGGGATTTGAACTCTGGCCTCCCAGGTCCTAGTCCAAAACCACTACGCCACACTGGCTCTTAAAGGTTTGAAGGCTGGGCCAGATGGAGCTCTCTTCCAGGTCCTGGAATCCCACCGAACTGGCAAATGGATCTTACTTGAACACTAGCAATGGGAGAGCATCCTCCACCAACCCTGAGGCAGCAGGCCAAATTGCAGTGGCGGGACAAAGGGAGGCTATGTGGCAACAGAGGGGAGTTGCTAGAGGCTCTGGAGCAATAACTGTGAGCTGCAGCTGCCCCTGAGAATCTGCCTCACACTGTCTAATGAGAGGGTTGGGCTTGCTGAACACACCACCAGGTTCTAATTCAGACTATATTCAACGAAACCCTTGCTCAACCATGCAGTACACCACAAGAGCAGCCACAGAGAGCTGACAGCATCCTGCTGCAGAGTGTGGTTTCTGTTCATGGAGAGCAAAAGGGAAAGGCATGGAAGAGGGTACCCTGGAACATTTCCCAGAATCCTCTGCAATGGGCAAGCATTCTGTAGTGAATAAATTGATGTGGCACTTGTGCCCTGGGGGAAGTAAGTTTGAAAGCCACAGATGTCCACAGCAGGAGCCATAGCTAACTGAGGAGTACAGCGTCTGCTCTGCATGAAGAAGGTGCCAATTCAATTCTCAATGGGATCCCTAGGTATCTTATGCCCAACACCCAGGAGAACCGCTGCCACTCAGTGTGGACCATACTGAGATAGACAGAGCAACAGCTCTGACTATCACAGCTTTCTACAGTCTATTATTTTAGTTATCTGCTTAACTTACAAATATAACTGCTCTTTGTTATCAAATTCCAGGATGGTTTACAAAGAAAAAACCCACTGAAACAGTAGTACGCAAAAATCACAAATACTGTACAACAGTCTCATAGTAACCTCCCTGCAACAATGCCAAACAGAAAACATGTCACTCAAGAGGCTGGTAAAAAGATGAGCGAGTGTTTGTTTATATATATCAGTCTCTAACAAACTCTAAAACATACTCCAGCAGGGAACCGGAGTAACAAATGTGCTACACCAGCAAAATATCTTTCTCTGGTTGCCACAAGATCTACACTGGTAGTCAATAGGTGCAACCAAGAAGGAATGATGCACAGATCTAAGTGAATGGGAAGCTTGACTGAGCTGACTGCTGCTAGCCTGAGTGATGACCCAGTAACTGCTATGTAAAACCACCAGCGGGAGAATTACCACTCTAGTAACCTCTATCCTGGAAGGGTCAGGCCTCTCACATCCCTTTCTGCCTACAGCACTTTTCAGTGACAGGTGCAGCTATCAGGAAGTCCTCTTGTTCCTCCAGCTGTTTTTAAGGAAAGCCAGTTTCACATTAGGACGGCTACTGGCCACCATGATTGGCCATGTTTTGCCTCCAGTGTCAGAGACAGAAATGGTTCTGAATACTAGTTCCTGGAAACCACAGTAAGGAAAAGGGCTCTTGAGCATCTGGTTGGCCACTGTGAGAACAGAATGCTGGACTAGATGGGCCATTGGCCTGCATCCTGCAGGCTCCTTATTTTCTCTTGATTCCCATTAGCGAAGTACAAAACCGAGACATCACCTGAAAATACCACAAGTTCCCAAGGATGGTTTGTGCAGACAGGTAAGGAAAAAGCTGAGAAGAAATTCTCAAAAGCGCCAACAAAATACAGTAAGCCCACAACTTATGTGCATTTAACTTGTGTGCAATCAGCAGTTATGTGTGTTGCAAAAAAAATTAAAAGGGGGTTGACAGGGTGCAGGGTTCCAGGAAAAATGACTTTGGCAATCTGGCGTGCCACTGAACCCAATGTGTCTTGACTATAAGCGATTTTAGCCTTGGAACATAAGCCCTGTGTATGTTGCGGGCTTACTGTAGCTCGTTCTGGGCCCTTTGAGGACCTTGGGCTGATTTGCTCCCTTTCTTTGGTTTCGTGCATGAAAGGCAGGCTGCTTACCTGAAAGATCCATATTCAGGAGGATGCTGGTACCTCATCAGTGGCCCGTCAGCTCGGCCTTGCTGACCCAGGCGGTGGTCGCTGTAGAAATGCCCGGGGTCCATCTGCTTACAGCTCATCGGAGGGGTGGGCATGTTTTTGTAGGGGTACTCGGGAGGAGGCCCCCTGTGCTCCATCCCTTTCATATTTGGCTGGGGCGGGGCTGTCACAGAGTTCTTGTAGAAGTCGTTGGTCTGCTGGGAAGAGAGCGGGGAGAGCGGGGCGCTTGTGACGGGCGCGTGGGCCTTCACACCACTGGTGGCCAGAGACAGCTGCATCAGCCTCTCGCTCAGGGAGCGGACGTGCCCTTGCTTTAGGTCCTTGAGTCCTTCGTCCTGGTGGACCTTCCCAGGGCTCACACGCTGGACTGTCGGGCGCCCCTCAGTCCTCATCTTCTGGTTGGAGACCCCCGTCACATAAAATGCCGCCCCAACGCTGGCGTGCTGTTGGCCCCTGAAGTACTGGGACTGGACTTTCGCTTCCTCATAGGTTGGGAGGTCTTCACTGTTCTGGAGCCTTGGGGAGAGCTGCTTCTCCATGACACTGTTGTCCATTTGTATTTCCTGGCCCTGGGGCTCCTGGCGGGCAACATGGGCTCCGGCCTGGTGGTCCTGAGGGCTCAGCCCTTCGCTTGGAGCCCCTGGGCTCCCGTTGCTGGCGAAAGTGGGTGCGTTGCCCGTAGCTTGGTGGTGCAAAGCGAGGAGGTTGCGGCTGTCGTTTGGGTTCCCATATCGCAGCTGCTCCTGCAGCAGGCGCTGTAAAACTGTCGTGGCCGTTTGCTCGTCTGAATTCCTCATCTCAACTGTGAGGCCTCGGGGGTGGAATGCGAAAGGGGGCGCGCAGGCTGCCCGTGACCTGGAAAGGAGGGAAAGAAAAGAGGGGATTGTTGGCCTACACGTTGAGTGAGAAAGGTGGAAGTTTGGAGGGAGAAGGCAGAAAACCCCATACCTTTCCTTATTCAGCGAGTGGGGCTTAACAAAAAGATTGCCATTAGCACCTTGGGACCAGTTTGTCTATGAGACTGCCTTACCCTGACTGCTTCAATCTGTGGCATTAGCACTATTATGGGCGCTGCCTGTTCAGGATTTGCAAGAAATCAATCTTTTAGTGTTGCTGGACCTATAGTCTGGAACTCCCTGCTTATTGACATCAGGCAAGGCACCTTCAATGCACTCTTTCCAGTGCCTGCTAAAAACATTTTTGTTTAGACCTACCTGCGCAGACATGTAGAATGCTGACACACGCTTTAATCTGTTTTTCATTTATTGCTGCTTTAATCTTTTATATGTTTATAAGAGGGGTTTTTTTTTACTGTTTTTAGTGATAATTTTATTGCTTTGTTCCCTTTGTAAACCACGTTGAAGGGTTGTTGTGGGTTTTTTTTAAAAATAATCAAGCCATGTCTAAATTTTGTGAAATAATAAATAAATTCAGACAAAGGGATTTATCTGAGAAGGTGGTCTGAAATAAGAGCCACAAGGAGCATCAAGAGACTAGCCATAGGTTTGATTGCTAAAATACAGACAGCGTCTATACTGTCAAGTTCACACCATCATGTTGAACCATGGTTGAAACCTCATTTTCAGACATGGCTAAAAAATTCCCACTTTGCTCTCTCTCCCCTCCCTCCCCCCGCCCACTGCCACAACTCCTGCTATGTTGCCAGGAAAAGGGACAGAGTTCATGGCTGTGCGGTTTCTTTTGGAAAAAGCAAACTTCCAAGCAGTAAGCTCCTTATTTGCTCCTTGTTTGGAGAAAAACAAACCAAAAGCCCAAGTTTGGACATCGCAACAAGCTAGTCCACTGGTTCCCTAACAGTTTTGGCCCATCAGCCCCTTGGTTCCAATAAGCTGGTGCCCATTCCCCACCAACCTTACCTTATAAAGAATGTTATTTAGAATAGCGGTTTTCATGATCCACTAAGGAATATAATAAGATAATAAAATTTGGAACAGTATCAGTTACTTGCACATTTATTCAAAATCCAACAAAAACTGTTCCGTTTAATTGATCCAACCAGACCAGGGGTAGGCAACCTAAGGCCTGGGGGCCAGATGCGGCCCAATCGCCTTCTCAATCCGGCCCATGGATGGTCCGGGAATCAGCGTGTTTTTACATGAGTAGAATGTGTCCTTTTATTTAAAATGCTTCTCTGGGTTATTTGTGGGACCTGCCTGGTGTTTTTACATGAGTAGAATGTGTGCTTTTATTTAAAATGCTTCTCTGGGTTATTTGTGGGGCATAGGAATTCATTTATTTGTTTATTTTTTAAAAATATAGTCCGGCCCACCACAAGGTCTGAGGGACGGTGGACCGGCCCACGACTGAAAAAGGTTGCTGACCCCTGAACCAAACTGATGAACTTGATCCAGTGACAGCAGCTTTTCAAAGTCTGAGCGTCATTTACACCCTCAGCGCCTCCTGCTGTCCCCTTGCCTCTTAGAACCCCCTTACATAATCCCACCTCTACCAGGTAGTGCTACTGCCCCTTTGGGAACCACTGAACTAGACTCTGACTTGTTTCCTGGCAGCAGCAGGAGTAGAGAAGGAGCACAGAAATGATTGTTAAATGTAAACAAGGTGGAGAGCTTAACACTTTGTTTTGCACTGGGTAACCCATGAGGAACCAGAGTGAAAACGGATTCTAAGCTCTCCGCCTTGCTTGCTGGGCAAGACTTAATTTGTACACAGGCTCTGGGAGAACAGGGAATTCTCTCTTTCTAACCCTCATTCACTAGTTGTGGGGCAGTTCCAAAGGCTTGCCTATATGCAATTTCTGGGATCGTATGCTAGGAACAATTAGAAATGTCATCAATCAATCAATACCAAAAAAATGTTATACGGTTGTATAAAACAATACAAATGAACCAATCTAATTTAACAGCTTAAAACTAAGCAGGAGAGGGAATAATGCCTAACACAGTAAAAATATTTTTTAAAAAGTAATTTACCAATCATCCACACTCTCCAGAGGATGCAATTATTTCTAAGAGTTTGTATCCAAGAGTAAATCTTCAAAGATCCAGAGGTCATGGCCACTAAAAAGTCCCAAGTTTCTAGCTGTTTTCTGCAACTCAGGAGCACCCCCTTGCAACCAAGTTGAGATTTCCTGCTGCGAGATTTGGGACTCTCCTCTGGTTGGGTAGAAGAGCCGAAGACAGCCTTTCAGCCCACTCTCCAGAAAGCCTTTTGATGTGCTGAAGAGGAAAACTTTCAATTGTTGTACGATTTGCATAAGCAAGCAAACAAACTGCTCGCAAGCAGTAAAATGGACTACTTCTCTCTTGGGCCAGGAGCAGGAGGTGAGATTTGGCTGATTTTCACCCCTTAAATCACTAACTTTGCAGGTAGCAACTGATGGTATCTTCTGGGGAATTTCAGATAGTCTCTCAGTGTGAGATCCATTGAGGTTTGCAAGTTTTACTTGTGGACCTCTTGCTGTGCTGGCTGGTTATTTAAGGGGTTTCTAATTGGTTCTGGTTTTGCTTCTCAAAACGGCTCTAGCAGCAAAGCAGTGCCTCTCTTCTCTTGCTTTGGCTTTCATTTCTTCTAATAATAATATTTTTCCTGGCTTCCCTGCAGAATAACGGTTTCCCCCCTTTATTTGGGTTCTGCTGCATCTCTCTTTTTTCCCCTAGGAATGCAGGGCTGGGGAGAGCAGACTGAAAATTATGACAAAAAAGGAAGATTTCCTTTGGGTTTCCTTTCCTGATCCAATAGTCACCTTTGACTGGACTTAACTGTCCAGGAGTCATTTACCTTTACCCTTTCTGTGGACCTACCCATTCTGAAGTTTTATTTTGTGTATCTGATGGTGTGTTTGGTATGGAGCAGGGAGTGAAAGTAGGGTAAATACTCTTATATCTTGAAATAGATAAGAAAACCATTCTGGTTTAATTCATCGTTCCGGTCCTATCCATCTGTGATAGTGAGTTTAATTTACTGGATGCATGTTGTCTGCTTTTTGAACCTAGGTTTGCAGCATGAGACACAGCATCTTTCTAGTCCTTTCTGGAGATCACAGAATCATAGAGTTGGAAGGGACCCTGAGGATCATCCATAGCTGTCAACGTATCCACTTTTTAAAGGGAAATTCCCTTATTCCGAATAGGATTTCCCTTAAAAAAAGGGGGAAGTTAACAGAAATGGAATCATCTAGTCCAGCAAAGTTTGCTGATGACACTAAGTTGTACAGGGTTATTGTTGTTGCTGAACTAAAAGAGGCTATGAGGCGACCAAAAGGATCTCTCCAAACGGGGTGAATGAGAATTAAAATCACAAAACTGGTTCAATGTTAACAAGTGTAAAGTGATGCCTGCTGATTCTAACATTACATATGTTACTGAGGTCTGAGTTGGTGGTGACTGACCAAGAATGACATCTTATGGTCATAGTGGATGGATCAATTAAGATGTTGATCCAGTTGTGGCAGCGGTAAAAAAAAAAGGGGGGGGATTAAAGCTTAGGGATCATTTTGAAAAGGATTGAAAACGGAACTGGCAATATCATAACCGCTTTATACAAGTCTATGGAGCAACTGCTCTAGAAATACTGTTTATAATTCTGGTCACCACATCTCTTAAAGGATATCATAATGCTGGAAAAATTTAGAAAAGGGCATAAAACCTCAATCCTGTTGTCGTTACTCTTGAATATCACATTTCCAGAAGGCATGGATTGAAATATTCATCTTCTCTCCCCTCCCCTCCCAAGGCATACAAAGGAGAAATTTATAAGATGGTAGCTGAATGGGAATGAGATGCAAAAAATACGGCCAGTGATAATTACAGCTTAATTGTATGTTCAATAAGCGGTGAGATCAAACATGGGAGAAGTGGGGGGTTTTGGGTTGGGGAGAACGATACAGCTCCTCGCCAAGGGTGCAAACAACCCTCAACATGCCTCTGTCACTGAGTTCAACTGCGACTTAGCTGTCCAAAACCATGTGTAGGTTTATCACATTATCCAGCTTCTCCAGCAAAGTATCCTTGGATCTTTCATATATACAGGGATAATTGAGAGACCTCATGGATTGGCCTCCATAGAAATTTTATCAAACAGGACCGTGCCCATCACAAGAAAGCCAAAACACTGCTGGGATATTTTAGGGAAGATTTCAAAACAATATTGTGAAAAATGAATAGGCTGAATGTGTGACTCTGCTCCTGAAAATATTTTAAGAACCAACTCCTGGATCTGTTGCTAGGGGGAGTATTAGAAAACAAATTGCAGTCCATTTAGCAAATAAATTAGTATTACACACTACTGTAATGATAATAATACTACCTTCTTATAATCGGTTTATGGATTTAGCACAAGTAATACATAAAATATCATTGTCATATCAAGTAGTGTTTCTTACTAATCTAGAACAATATGTTACACCCACACCAGTATTTATAAATATTAATTATTCAAATGACTTGTGGTCGGCACCTAAGGCTGAATCCCATTTATGTTTGTCCAATTAACAATTGCTATGAAAAATGTGATATTAAAAATGTGTCACTGCAATAAAGCTTTGCGATACGTAAAAAAGAATGCCAAGACACTGCATTTTAAAAGCTCACTCTGAAACCCGGTAAGGGAGGGCAGTGAAGAGCTCCTGGCTCACCCCTGCTCCTTCTGCCTGCGGTCAAACCTATCTTACCGCGGTTGGCAAACTAAGATACAAGCATTTTCCCACAGAAATTTATACAGCCACATGAAAGCTGCCCACAGTTATCTTCTTGCTTGGAAAAGATTGTGGAGACCTTTGATTTACCTTAGAAAACAAACTTAAATTGGCGACTCCAGCCTTGGCTCTTGCAGCATGAAGTGGGAGTTCTGGTATGAGAGATGACGATAGTCCCTCTTTTCTTCCTTAGTCAAAAGTGGCAGCGTATTTTTGGGTCCCTTGAAATTTGGGTTAGCTTGGCAATTCCTTGACACTTTAGAAAATTCTGAAAAACAAGAAATGGTGGAAACTGATTAAATAAGGCAGTATTAGAAAACAGCTACTAACTTAACTCTGGAGGCATGGTGAGATAGGCTATGCAACACAGCCCTTATAGAGAAATGAATGAAGCATCTTAGCGTGCTCAGGAACACAAAGGCCAACGGTGATTTTGAAACTGTATGGCCCCTGGCCCATGTATATTCAGTGTGCTGGAAAGGGCAGTGCTGCCCCCCACCCACAGCTGCCCACAGCTTCCTCTGGGCAAATCTGTTAAGACAGAGAGTAGAACTGTAGAGTTGCAAGGGACCCTGAGGATCATCTAGTCCAACCCCCTGCAATGCAGGTATATGTAGCTGTCCCATAGGGGATCAAATATGAAACCTTGGCATTATCATCACCCTAGACAACGGAGACATTTAACTGATGTGATCCACTCTAAACTATTTAAAAATTTAATGTTTGGCTGCATTTCTTACGTGGTATAAGCATGGAATGTTTATTGGGGGTTAGGGATAACATGTTTATGTTTGTTACGTGTCCTTTTAGAAACTGAAAAATAAAGTTAAGAATTGTTGGGATTTTTTTTAAGGAAACATTCCTACTTTCATCTGCGGCATTTGATAACACTGCATCCAGTTTTGACATGCTTGATTAAAATGATGCATTAAAAAGATATTACTTTAAGCAAAAGGAAGTGCAGTAAACAGCACCTATTTCTAGGTAAAGAAGCACATTTTCTTCTTAAGTTCCGACCCTAAGTGAAATAAAACTGAGCAGATCAGAATCAGTTAAAATTACAATCTAAGTAAGTTGAATGCTGCCAATGTCAGTGCTGACACAAATACAAACGCTTCAGGTTGCGTTTCTTCATGTTACGGACCGCCGAAACCTGGAACTACCGGAATGGGTTACTTCCAGGTTTCGGTGGTTGCGCATGCGCAAAAGAGCTAAACTGCGCTTTGCGCATGCGCAGAAGTGCCAAATTGCAACCCGCGTGTGCGCAGACACGGGTTGCGAACACTGCGGGTTGCGAACGTGCATCCCGCACGGATCACGTTTGCAACCTGAGTGTCCACTTTAAGGCACAAGAGCCTTTCCGGACCCCCCCCCCAGTGGCCCATAGCACCCCAGACGATAAAAGAGCTGACTTCAACGCTAGAGAGGCACGTTATCAGTAGGGCAAGGGGGCTGGTCTCCTAATGATAACTACATTAGCCTCTCTCCATTGCACTTAAATTATTAGCAGTCCAGCAGAAAGAACAGAGTCTCACCAGTGACTCGGGTCCTGCTAGAGAGGATCCCACAAGGCATCTTGTTGGCCATGTGAGAAGAGGATGCAGGACTAGATGGGCCACCGGGTATTCAGCAGGGGCTCTTCTTACATAATTACGGAAGCCACCAGAGAGTGCTCTTATCCTCAGATCCTGATTGTGGACTTCTCATTGGGGCATTTGGTTGGCCACTGTCAGAAAAGGTCGCTGGGCTAGATGGGCTATTGGTCTGATCCCACAGGCTCTCCCTCTGTTCTTATGTATTTGTCACTTGCAACCAAAAATGAAAGCTATGGGAACAGGCAGCCGAGCCTTGTGCGACAGAGGTTGTTTTGGCTGGCAGGAGTGTGTGCATGTGTGTAGGCAAGCATGTGATAACAGCAGCTGTTTCTGCAACGTGAAAGGATTTTGGAGCATGTTGTTTGTATGCATTTGGTCTTTGGAGGAAGAGCTGGTATTCGGGGGGGGGGGGGGTGAGTAGAGGAGATGTGCTTTAATTCACCAATCCTCCTAACACCCTACTCTTCTGCCAAAATTGATCAAGGATTTATTACAAAACTCTCTTTCTCTCTGTGTGTAATTTGGTTCCATAACCCATTTGAGTTGGACACCCCTTCTCTACATTCTAGCAAATTGTGAGGAACAAAATCAGTAACTAAAGGACATAGGTTGAATGACAATATGCCATTGTTTTATTTCTTATTCAAATATTGAGGGAGACAGACACTCAGCACCACCAGTATATGCAAATACCTCATTTAAGACTTTACAGAAACTGTTCTGAATAATGATGGAACTCTGAACTATAGATATGTTATAAAGCAAGATGAGTTGGCAGAGGAACTGAGGGAGGGTGCCAAATAGCATCTTGGAATGTTTTTTAAAAGCAGATATAAAAAGTAGATATTGCAATAACAATTATTATTTCACCCAAGTTCAAGTCTTTATTTGTGATTAAACACACAGAGAATCTCTACTGAACCACTGATTGTATGGATTCTGTGGCTAAACCCAAGAAGATAATCAAATTTAAATTGGTTAAATAAGAAGCGACATGACAGAAGTTTATGAAATTATGCATGCCATGAGAAATTCGGTAACGAGACAAATTCATGGAGGAGAGGGCTGTGGGTGGCTACTAGCCATGATGGCTATGCTCTGCCTCCACAGCTGGAGGCAGTAATGCTTCTGAATACCAGTTGCTGGAAACCACAGGAGGGAGAGCTCTTGCACTCAAATCTTGCTTGTGGGCTTCCCATTGGGGCATTTGGTTGGCCACTGTGAGAGAAGGATGCTGCAGATGGGACACTGCCTTGAACCTGAAGGTTCTTCTTATTTTCCTAAAACAAATCTCCTCCTGCTAGATTCAGAAGGATGTACCAGTGTTTGGCACTCTGCTGCCCCCCCCCCAGATGTTTTGGACTGCAATTACCATCAGCCGCAGCCAGCACAACTGCCGGGAAAAGGCTTCCTAAAGACATCTGCCAACAAACATTCCAGCAAAGGTAAATCCAAGTCTTAGAACAACAGAAAAGCAGAACCTTTCTGGCATGTTTTACAAGGAGCTTACTAAAACCATTCTTACTTCAGCTGTCCATTTTTTTTAAAAAAAATGCCCAAAGCCACTCACAACACAAACATAGTTAAAATAACAAGCAGTGAAGGGAAATACAAGGGAAACGGGGGGCGGGAGACAGATTCAGACTGAAATACAAAGACTAAAACCTTAACATAGCGGCTGGTCAAATATCTGCTGTAAAAGAAAAGTCCTCCTCTTGCAACAGAGGACCACAAGAAAGGAGGGCCAGGCAGGACCCACTAGGAGAGTGGTGGCGAACCTATGACACGCATGCCAGAGAGGGCACTCAGAGCCCTCTCAGTGGGCACGCGCGCAGTTGCCCCAGCAGGGCCGAACCAGCCTTCCCTCACTCAGCACCGGGGCCGCCAGAGCTGTAGGAGGGGGTGGTTGCTGTTGTGGCAGTGGCAGCGGAGGGACCCAGCGCTGGTGGGTGGCAGGTGCCTGCTTGCTTGCTGCCCGGCCTGCCTTCATTCACTAGGAAAATTAAGTGTGGCACTCAAAATGGAAGTTATACTCAGAACAGAGCATGTTTGGCTTCTGAAAAACATTCCAAAACCGGAACACTCATTTCTGGGTTTGAAGTGCTCAGGTTCCAAGTAGTTTGAGAACTAAGCTGTTAAAAAACTGAGGTACCACTGTATTTATTTTTCCCAATTTGAACTGTATTTATTTTTCCCCCAGTGGTGATTTTCTTGAGTCAATATGAGAGTATCCCTAAACATTTTTTTAGAAAAATAGAACTGAGTTATACCATAAAATTATATATCAATGGAAAGAAAATTTAATGAAGAATGTAATGCAATAACTTTTATGAAGGGGTATTTATTAAAACAGCAGTCATAAAGAAGAAACATGAAACACACAGGAAAAAAAATGAGATATACAGGTTAAATTGCCGTGTTGGCACTTTGCGATAAATAAGTGGGTTCGGAGTTGCAGTTTGGGCACTCGGTCTCTAAAAGATTTGCCATCACTGCACTAGGAAGACAGTTCCACGGACTTGGAATGGCCACAGAGAGAGACCACATCCCAAACAGACACACTGCTCAGATGCTGGTGGGATGCAAAGCGCAGCCTTTCCAGAAAATCTTAAGGACAAATTCATCAGGGGAAAGAGAGTTCTTGAAGCACCCTGGTCCCAAGTCATTAATGATTCAAAAGGTCATAGCCCGCATTTCAGATTTGGGCCTGAAAACAGACTGGGAATCAGTGTAGCTGTGGCAGGAAGCGAGTCACAAGCTCTCCAAAACTGGCTGTAATCAGCATTCTGGACTCCTTGAAGTTTCCAAAGGTAGCCCTACTTAAAGTACAGTATGACTGAATCTCACACAGAGGCTCAGTTCCTAGGGTTCTGTGTATACATGAAAATCGCATATACCCAAACCCTTGGAGCTGCCCCGACGCCTAGTGTGGGAGGGAGAGAGATAGTTCTCCGTATTCCCAGAGCTAGCACACTGAGCAGGACTGGCCCAGCAAGTAGTGCAAAGAGCTTAAAACCTCTTTTCACACAGGGTGAGCCCAAGCAGACCTGGTGCAAAAACGGCTTTTAAGCTGTCCACTTTGTGCAATTTCATCCAGCACGCATGTGGCTGAAACTGTGTAGGTTGAATGCGTGTTAAATGCGCAGAAGGTGCAATTGGTTGATGTGAACAAAGGCATGCGTGTTACCATGCCCATGACTGCATCCAATGTTACATTCCCAGGCTGAGCACCAACTATGGTCAGAACAGGCTGTTCACCTCGGCAAGGAGACTGTTTTTAAGTGGGGAAGGCAGTTCCCCAACAGATTCTATGCAGTCACCTTCAAAGACACACACACACAGGCCAGATGGGGTACCTGAATAGAGGAATGCAGCCTTGACAAAGTAATCTGACTCCACCTTTCCAACCTTCCTCCCCCTAGCCTGCTGAGGTACCACAAATCCTAAAGTGAAGGCTCCTAAGTCTTACTGTTAATTGCTTCTGCCAAGCTGTAAGCAGCCCAAATCATTTTTTTTTATTAGAAAGAAAGAGGGGCTTTATTTGTATTAGACAACGTGAAAGTCTATTCCTGCCTCTTCGCTGCCATATTCTCTCAGTGTCAACTGGATAATCTCATTTACTTGTTTCACATGCTGTTGTTTTAAACAGACAGACACACATTTCTCTGTTCTCCAGAGTACACTTTGGTCACCAAAAACATTCCACAGATCCTAGTTTTCAATCTTAAAAATCTATTTAAGGGGTGGTGGTAGAGGAGATTACTTCATTGGGTGGGATCAATGAATATTTACGAATAAGCCACAATGCCCAGGAATTCCTCTCTCATGCTGACTGGGATGATTAAGATGACAAAGACTGGCTCCTGATTGTGTGACCAAGTTCAAAATCAATTACCTCCAAAGTCATCACCATTTTCTGCAGGCCTAAATTCCAGCAATATTCAATCGATCGACAGCAACAGCACAATTTTACCTGCCTGCATCAGTCCAAAGTACGCCTTAGTGTAATGACCCACATGCTTAAACGTCATGCCCTCACACAAGCTTGTAGTCCCCAACCTGATCTTATCTCTCCTCCATTTTATTCACCATCCTATTCTTTCATTCTTATTTACTTATTTTTGCTCACCTGTTCATTTCACTGATACAATGTTTTCCTTTATTTCTCCTTCCTATATTTATCGTCACCTCATTTCCTCCATTTTGCATGGTTATTTCCTGGCTGGGGCCCTCAAGAAGCAGGCCACAGCACTTTCACCTCACATCAGAGACCCTGCAGGCATCTCACCCTGCTTAGACCTGCAGTGCTGCCTCATCACCAGGGAGAGAGTGTCTGATGGTCACATCAACCAGAGCTAGGGAATGGAAACCAGAAGACATGATCCATTGCCATGGGACTGGAAGGGTATCAAGGACATTTGAGGAATGGGTTCATGTTTTTGAAGCAAAGGTGTTGTTAATGGAGCGCAGTGCCTCGGGGGTACTCTCTGGAGAGGGCTACAAACTCATCCTGCAACCGCTTCAATTATCCTAATTCCATGCAGTGCACACTTCAAATGTCAAAAAGGCCACTTGAAAAATATGGAATGAAATAAGCAAGATGTAAGTGATCACATGGGGGATGAAGTACTTGCAAATTATGCCACATACTACTTCCAGAGAGTGAGGCAAGCTACCGTATTTTTCGCTCCATAAGACACACTTGAACATAAGACGCACCTAGTTTTTAGAGGGGGAATGCAAGAAAAAAAATATTCTTTAAAGGAAGCGCTGAGCAGAGCCTGTACGCATCCCAGGCTCTGCTCAGCACTCCCTTTCACAAGCCGCGTGGAGTGGAGTTGCAGGCTTTCCCCCGAGGAGGGTGAAGGGCAGTCTGTCACTGACTGGCTGCCCTTCTCACTCCTCGGGGAAAAGCCCCCAAGAGCTCCACGCAGCTCTTTAAAGGGAGCGCAGCTCTTGGGGGCTTTTCCGGGAGGTGGGGGAAGGGACTGAGGGGCTAAGCCAGATGCTAGAACAGCAAGAGGGAGCGCTGCGCAGAGATCCCTCTTGCTGTTCTGGCTTCTGGGATAGCTGCGCAGCCTGCATTCGCTCCATAAGACGCACACACATTTCCCCTTACTTTTTAGGAGGGAAAAAGTGTGTCTTATAGAGCGAAAAATACGGTATTTGTCAGATTGTCTGCTGCAACTGAAACAGTAACAGGCACATACAAGTGCTTCTCCTCTGCTTGCAAAACTAAGAAAGGTGGGCCACAAGATTTGGTGTAACCTGCAATAACCTGCCCTGGAAAGAGCCCAGCCAAGAAATTAATAGGGAAATATTCCTAATTGGAAAGAACAAGTTCACCTCCTTTTGCGGGCTGGGCACCAGGGCAGGCCTGCCCCTATGAGTAATCCAATGTTAGCCATAATAAATAAAACTAGAGGGCTCAAAGGCTTGGGTTAGTAGACTATTATTTCACAGTGGAAGGTTCATACTATTCTCAGAAGGCTCTCATTATGTTTGAAAAATGCAAGCACAACACAAGCATCCACCTGAGTTGCAAGAGGAAGGAAACTGTGTTGACAGTCTTATGAGAAGTCTCTGAGAATCAGAAGCATTTCTCTGCCCTCAACTCAGCAGTAAACCTCTGAGTGTACACCACACTCAAAGCTATTCCTGAAAGAACCCCCCTTTAGTAAAATGGGGAAGAGTTGTGAAAGTGAATCCATTAGAAAAGGGCTGGGCAAAAAGGACAAATGCTCAGTGTCCTGTTCAGCCTGAGGCATCACTGTCATCAGGCTGTGCAGTACATAATGAAAACTTCAAAAGGTGGCTTCTGCCCAGAACTAAAAATTCCCATAAGCAAACAACAGAGATCAAAAGCAGAGGGGACAGAAATCCTAAAGGACCCAACTCAGAGCCTGTGGAACTCTTAGGGGTTTCTTCAAGTAACTAAGACCCTTGAGGTGGAGCAGAAAAAATAGGAGCATGTTGACAGGAGAGTGAAATGACCAGGAGGAAGGCATGGAATGGAAAGCTTGGCTAAGAAGAATGTTTACAAAACAACGACTTTTCAGCTTTCTGTATAACTAGAGTTAAAAGTCAATTATACTGAAGTGTACACAATTGGTCCCAATTAAGTAAATACAGTGACAAAGAAATGGGCCGCATTGACAATTATGCTGCTTTAGCTACCCCTATCCCAGTTGCCTACCAACTGTGTCTCAGGTGATCACACAGGTGTGGCACCAAGCAGGTGCATGGACAAGGGCCAGTATTACACATCCTCATTCCAGAGAGTGAGAGTCACCCTCACCACCACCTCCTGTTAATTAGAAACAAGAAGTGAGACTGCGGGAGACATACACATATTCTTAGCATGAGCTCAGCTTCCCAGCTCCTAAGGCAACGGAGTCGTACAGGCGAAAGGCATAATGGAAATTGCTCCTATGACCCGGTGATGCAAGGCAAAAGCTCATTTTCAGCAACCACTTGCCATTTTAAGAAAGGAGTTTAAGCTGTAACCACAGCCCATGTGATCTGAGCGTTTCCCAATCAATTGAAGTTCAAAACTGGAGTACCAGAACACATTCAGACCGAAATAATAATATTATAATAATAATTTGCTGGGCCAAATTCTCCAAAGTGAACCAAACACAGTATGATCACATGTTACATGGGGAGTTCAATTCCAAGAGTTCTGCATATACACGAAATTCATGTATACCCAAACTCTTTGAGGCACCCCTGTGGCTAGCATGTGATGGGAAGAGAGAGATTCCCCAGCACTCCTAGACCCTGTATGCTAAGTGGGCCTTGCCCAACAAGCAAAGCAGAGAGCTTAAAAGCTCTTTCCAAGCCAGAAACCCCAAGTGGACTTGAGATAGCTCAGTCTCTAGAGCATGAGACCATTCATCTCTGGGCCATGGGTTCGAGCCCCATGTTGGGCAAAAGATTCCTAGTGGTCCCAAAAGCTTTTCAGGCAACCACCCACTCAGTTCCATAAACTTGCCTCCAATGTCCTCTGCCCTATTATTCATAATAGCAGTTCTCACTAAGCAACCCACTAAGGAATAAAATTCAAAACCGAGACAATGAATTGCACCTTAATTAAAAATGCAATTAAAACTATTTCGTTAAATTAATTCAACAAAACGGATGAACTTCTGGTAGTCATTTACACCTCCAGGGACCCCCCTGCCACACCCTTGCCTCTTAGTGCCCCCGCCTTCGTAATCCCACTGCCTCCCCAGTGAATAGATGTCAACTTTCAGATTTGAAAATAAGGGATCAGCAGCCTCACCTGTCCCGGGGTCAGTCTACGGGATATCTAACAATCTGGGATAGCAGCGGGAAACGGTGCTGGAATAAGGGAATTTCCCGCAAAAAAAGGGAAGGTTGACAGCACTGCCCACTTGGGAAACCTATATAATATTTACACACCCATTGTGAAAGTGCTAGGCAGGCCAAAAAGCCTACCCAGTACAGTTCTACTCCTATCGCAAGAGCCAGTGACCCAACACAAGCAGGAATTTAGGAGTTATAGTTCAGCTCCATTCCCTTTGCTTTGCTCCTTAGCGATCCGGGTCCTGCTCTTTCCTCTTTGTTGTTAGAAGCCCCATCCCACAAATATCCCAAGAATGCTTCAACGTCATCTTCATTTATTTGAGTGGTTTTTGCCATTCCTCTGCTTATTTAGCCCAGGCCTCTCTTTCTGCTCTGGGGTCCCAGTTAATGAAAACCACATGAGATCACAATGTGAGTTTGCCTAGTGCTCAAATCAATGTCATCTGCATTAATGGGAGGGAGCATTTTTTAGCATATCGTTTTTAACAAGGATCAAAAATGTCAAGCTGCAGTGCGCACAGAGAGATCAGATAAGCGCACAAATTTACCCACCTATCCATGCCCCCTCTCCCCTGTCCCGGCCACTGTAATATACTTTTGCAGAAATGCCAGCTGAGATTATAATTGTGCTTAGCACTGAAAGCCCTTTTATTATGGCCGAAGTGCTTCGCAGTATATTATCTCACTAATCCTGACAACTGCTCTGTAAGGGAGACCAATATTATAATTATTGTAGATGACCTGCTGATAGGGTGGCCCTTTGTACATTGCCAAAAAGGGAAAAAGAGAAGAGGGTGCAGATTTACATAAAATTTGCATGTGCTAATTACAAAAAACCCCACAATTTTTGTAATAATAGCTATGATCTGAACAGCAACACACCTTAGCGCTGCTGTGAACAGGTGACCTGTGTTGCTTACTCAGCCTGATGCCCAGCTGCAAACTAGGGATCAGGCCTCCCTGATCTCTCCTTTTGGGGATCTTTAAACTGGATTCGCAGTGGATAGCCTTTCAGACACACACAAACTGTTTGTAGAGAACTGACCTCTGTAAAGTAAGACACACGGCTGCTCTATTGGGTGAGTCAGAGACAGGGCAGGAGCCTAGCCTTAACTAAGGCCCCCAATGAGTGGACGGCAAAGGCAAGGTTTGAACAGGAGACACAAATTCTCAGCCACTATTAGCACAGGGTGGCGTTTAGGTTTGCCCTAATGTGGTGAATGGATTCTTTGATGGCTCTGCTGGATTTGGTCACAGAACTCTCAATTTTCAGATTTATATTTGTGACCTACTTTTTACTCAGCACTTACACCACCATGAAGTTGTTGAACTGAAGAGCAGGATACACACCCTGTCTCAAGTAATCAATTACTTGTTGCAGTGTTTCCCCATTAGCAGTGTGCGTATCCCTTGCCCAGGGTATGTGAAAGGGTTTCAAAGGGCACACAGCAGAACTTTTTAATTTTACTTTATCATAGTATAACTCTTTATTATATACTAATGAATTGATGCCACATATTGTAATTGGTCCGGTCTAGATAAAACAGTACAGTGGTACCTTGGTTCTCAAATTTAGTTTGTTCCAAAACCAAGGTGCGCTTTCCCATAGAAAGTAATGCAAAACGGATTAATCTGTTCCAGACTTTTAAAAACAACCCCTAAAACAGCAATTTAACATGAATTTTATTATCTAACGAGACCACTGATCCATAAAATGAAAGCAATAATCAATGTACTGTACAGGGTGGATTTGATTTAAATCAAATCGATCTAAATCACGATTTAAATCACTAGTCAGTAAGGCTTGATTTAAATCATTTTTTTTACAGAAAGACTCATTCTTTCTGGTATAATCTTAATATTTACAACCATATGAAGGTTTCATTTTTGGAATACTAAATTTTCAGAGTAGTTTTTACAGTTATATCAAAAATTACTGATTTGATATACTATTAGAAATACATAGACAGATAATTATGAAATTATGGTGAGGTTTAATAAGTTAACTATTTATATTTGGACAATATTTCTGCTGTACTTTTTTGGAAAGAGAAAAATAATCATTTCCTTACTAACCATTTAAACAATTTATTTAACTGGTTATAGTCATTGTTTGGATGAGGGCTTTTATCCATTTCCACAGTCACACAATCAATCAATCAATCAATCAGTAGCTGAACTGGGATCCACGCAGTCCCAAAAACAAATTACCGTATTTTTCGCTCTATAACACGCACCCGACCATAACACACACATAGTTTTTAGAGGAGGAAAATCCATAGGCATGCCACCCGTAGGCATTCCCTCCATAACACGCACAGACATTTCCCCTTACTTTTTAGGAGGAAAAAAGTGAGTGTTATGGTGCAAAAAATACGGTAACTGAAAAAGCCTCAAAACAAAAAAATGCAAAATAAATAGCAAAAACAAAAGCACCAAATATAACCTCCAAATATCACCACAGAACACTGCAATTGGGAATGGAAGGCTTGAATTACAATGGGAGGGGGCACAAATTAGCAGCGCAACAGGAAATCACGGAAACGGATGGCTTGAATTACAATGGGGGGGATCCAAAATAGCAGCGCAACAGGGAGACTCAAAACGGAGCATGTTCAGCTTCCGAAAAAAGTTCGAAAACCGGAACACCTACTTCCGGTTTTTCAGTGTTTGGGTTCCAAGTTGTTCGTGAACTAAGCTGTTCAAAAACCGATGTACCACTGTATTATTAAAACTACCCCCCAATTACCTTCACCTAAGAAGAGGCATGGCAGTAAGACTAAACTCTCAAAAGGGACTGACTGAGTCAGGACACTGCAAATGCTGTCTAGCTTCCTCTATCTGCACAATGGGAGCTGGGAGTTCCTCCTCCTGCTCCATCCCCACCTACCTCTCTCCGATAGGGCTGGGCGATATCTGGTTTTCAACATTGTGATATATCACCAGCTAAACATTGTGATACACTGATATATCACTATGTCTGAAATAAGGATGGAGCTATGTAGAGGCATTGACTGGCTTCACGGTTTTCCCTGCATCATGATTGCCAAGTCAAAAATTACGAAACTGATGTCACGATATGGACTTCATACCAGTTTTGGATGATATATTGCCTGGCCCTACTCTCTTGCCATGCCCACCCCAGCACTATCAAATACTGGGAGTTGACCTGCTTGCCCTGGGATGTTTCACCAGTTGACACCTCCCAGTCTCCTGAGTCTAGGAGGAGTACTAATATGGTCTGGGTGTGCACTCCTGTTCTTATCAGGATCAAGTAGTTATGCATATAGAGAGCGCCAATGTGGTGTAGCGATTCAGAGTGTTGGACTAAGACCTGGGAGATTGGGATCCCAGTCCTCTCTCAATCTTAATCTAGAGCTCACGGACCTCCAATGAAACTGAATATTGGAAGATTCAGAAAAAATAAGAGGAAGTTCTTCTTCATGCAGTGCATAGTTAAACTAGGGAACTCACTCCCACTGGAGGCAGTGATGGCCACCAACTTGGGATGGCTTTAAAAGAGGATTAGATAAATACATGGAGGAGAGGACTACTGACGGCTACCAGCCGGGATGGCTCTGCTCTGCCTCCACAGCTGGGGGCAGCAATGCTTCTGAATGCCAGTTGCTGGACACCACAGAAGAGGAGACAGTGCTCTTGTGCTCAGGTCCTGTTTGCAGGTATCCCATGGGCATCTGGTTGGGCCCTGCGGGGACAGGATGGTAGACTAGATGGGCAACTGGCCTGATCCAGCAGGGTTCTTGATATGTTCCTACGTTCAAATCAGTAGTAATTAAAATGTTGTACAGTACTTGAAATATACAGGTCATCCCAGCATGCGGATCAGGCAGGCCAAGAAGCAATTAGTTCTACCTTTTGAGTCACCATATTATATCTGGCTCCAGTTGGAAGACTTCAATGTTACAGTAGACACAAACACACCCTTCAAGCCTCACTGCAGGCCAGGGATGGGGAACATGCATCGCTCCAGATGTAGTTCAACAACATAATGGTAGTTGTAGTTAACTACCATTATCCCATAGCACTGCCCAGGAGAAAGGGGATTGGAGCCCAACCACAACTGGAGGGCCAGAGATTTCCCATGCGTACTGCTCAGGGCAATTTTCCCTTCGTGAATTTTTCTTGGAGGGTAAACTACATTTTTTTAAGGGTCAAACTCTCTATTCCCCATCACTTGAATCTAACAAGTCCTTAAGCTAGGATTAGATTGGACTGATGGCACCAGTTCTGGAGATGTGATTAGTCACTTGCTAGCATAACCATGGAACAGGAGGAACTAATTTCTGTCTTAATCAGAGATCTTTGCAACTACGAAACCTAGCACTCTAGCTCAGTGGTTTCCAAAGTAGGTAGCACTGCCCCCTGGGGAGGATAACCTAGGGGGCTCTAAGAGGCAAGGGGGCTAAAGGGGGGCTATTAGAAGCATAAATGAATATCAGACTTTGAAAAGCTGGTATCGTTGGATCAAGTTCATCAGTTTTCTTGAATTAATTAAACTAAACAGTTTCAACAGGATTGTGAATTAAAGTGAAATTAGTGGTTATTGTTTTGAATTTCATTTATTATCTTCCTTAGTGGGTTGTGCAAGGGGAATAATGCTTTTTATGTGTTGCGTAGTGGGTTCTGGGGATGTGTTTATGGAACCAACAGGGTGGGGGTGCAAAGAAGTTGGGGAACCACTGGACTAGTTCTTCACTTGTTTGTCCTGAGAGAAGGGAGAAAAAATAATGGGTCAAACTCAGAGCACAACCTGCCTTGTAACTCACAGGAACATGCAGTGTTTAAGTCTTTTATGGGTTGCACTGAACTGCAAAGGTGGAATAAGATCTGTTCATTCCAATGCAGTTTCATTTTAGTCTTGTAAGCAAGTGTGAGATGTTAACATCAGTTCTCAAATACTTTGGATGCAACAGCCACTTTGAGGGTTGCTGTTGCTGTTTACAATCAAGTGGCATGTAAATTTTATGAAATAAAACAAATTTAGTATGTATTACGCCCATACCAATCCCTTTGCAGGGCCTACCATGCTGCTACGTAACAATATAAGGGTCATAAACACACTTGGTATTCAGACACCACACCAAGTCAAACCATAAGTTTAGCATGAGTATATGGACTCAGGGAGAGGAGACTGCAGTCACTTCATTCCTTTCTGGTTGTTCTGCCACTATGCCTCACTGAGCTAAGCCATGGTTTGCCATAGCATGTTGTCTTACTTTGAACTTATGATATAGTTCTCCCAAACAAACCATGAGCTACAAACAATAGGATAAACTTTGGTTGCACCAGGCGGGTGGCGCTGTGGTCTAAACCACTGAGCCTAGGGCTTGCCAATCAGAAGGTCGGCAGTTCGAATCCCCACCACGGGGTGAGCTCCCGTTGTTCGGTCCCTGCTCCTGCCCACATAGAAGTTCAAAAGCACGTCAAGTGCAAGTAGATAAATAGGTACCGCTCCGGCAGGAAGGTAAAGGGTGTTTCCATGCACTGCTCTGGTTCACCAGAAGCAGCTTAGTCATGTTGGCCACATGACCCAGAAGCTGTACGCCGGCTCCCTCGGCCTAAAGAGCAAGATGAGCGCACAACCCCAGAGTCGTCCACAACTGGACCTAACGGTCAGGGGTACCTTTACCTTTACCTAAGGAAGCTAAACCAAAAGCCCAGATTTAAGTCGCACACTAAGCGGAACCATAGCTTAACTCCTTCCAACTTCCAATTCTATGATTCAACACAGCAGCAAAAAGATCAGGGAGGCCACAGCCTCTTCTATGGGAGCCTGCACACGAAATAAGTCATGGTTTGGCTTATCACGATATACAAACCAGATCATTCTGTTATCCGTACCGTACTAAAAATTAACCTATGTGGGGTGATAAGGGAGGGAAGTATCAGTGCTGCTGTAAACTTCAGTGGAATACAATAGATCAGAAAAAATCAAAGTGAGGCTGAAGAGACATTGGGGGCAGGGAGCAGAACTCGCCCCAACCAAAGATTTTAACACAGTTAACAATGCCTAGGTAGGGCTAATTTTGCACCATTTAAAAAAATGTTTACACAAATCTGCACGTGTAAAAATATTTCTGCCTACATACTTTGCTTTTGATCATACAAGCAGGTTGTAGCAATGATCTTTTTGGATAAGGTATTTCCTCCTCTGGGAGAGAAAAGGGACAATGGTTCTCTCAATGATACTTCCACTCTCTATTTTTTAATATCTGCATTAAAAATTATGAGTTATATCGAACCAAGTTCTACTCAGAATAATCCCACTGGAAATAATGCACTTAAGTTAGTCCTGCCTGTTATTTTTAATGGGTCTACTTTGAGTATAACTGATCATCATCATCATCATCATCATCATATATTTATACCCTGCACTCTGGGCGGCTCCCAACATAATATTAAAAACATAATAATAATAATAATAATAATAATAATAATAATAATTTATTTATTTATACCCTGCCCTCCCCAGTCAGAGCCGGGCTCAGGACGGCTAACACCAGTAAAATTACAATAAAAACATAATGGGGGGGACAATTTAAAATACAGGTTAAAATGCAATTTAAAATGCATCCTCATTTTAAAAGTAGCCCATGGATCAAAACCATAAGGGGAGGGAAAACATAAGGGTCAGACTGAGTCCAAACCAAAGGCCAGGCGGAACAGCTCTGTCTTGCAGGCCCTGTGGAAAGATATCAAGTCCCGCAGGGCCCTAGTCTCTTGTGACAGAGCGTTCCACCAAGTCAGGGCGAGTACTGAAAAGGCCCTGGCCCTAGTTGATACCAATCTAACCACCTTGCGATTTGGGACCTTCAAAGTGTTGTCATTTGTGGACCTTAAGGTCCTCCGCGGGGCATACCAGGAGAGGCGGTCCTGTAGGTACGTGGGTCCTAGGTTGCGTAGGGCTTTAAAGGTCAAAACCAGCACCTTAAACCTGACCCTGTACTCCACCAGGAGCCAGTGCAGTTGGTAAAGCACTGGGTGAATGTGATCCCGCGGCAAGGACCCCTTAAGGAGCCTCACCGCGGCATTCTGCACCCGCTGGAATTTCTGAGTCAGCTTCAAGGGCAGCCCCGCGTAGAGCGTGTTAAAACGAGCAAGCCTGGAGGTGACCATCACATGGATCACTGTGGCCAGATCAAGGAGAGAAAGGTAAGGGGCCACCTGCTTAATATGGCGGAGATGGGAAAATGCCACCTTTGCTGTGGCTGCAACCTGTGCCTCCATGGAAAGGGAGGCGTTGAAGGTTACACCCAAGCTCTTGACAGAAGGCGCTGGCACTAATTGAGCCCCCGCAAGAGATGGGAGTTGGCCCCCCAACCCTATGTCATCCTGACCCAGCCAGAGGACCTCTGTCTTCGAAGGATTTAACTTCCACCAGCTCTCACGCAGCCATCCAGCCACAGCTTCCAAGCATCTGGTCAGTGTGTCCAGGGCCGAGTCAGGGCAGCCATCCATCAACAGATAAAGCTGGGTGTCATCAGCATATTGATGACAACCCAGCCCAAAGTATTAAAAACATTAAAAACTTCCGTAAACAGAGCTGCCTTCAGATACAACCCAGTCTCTTTACCCATTTTGTTTCTTCTTTGATGCCCAGTTGATTGGAGAAACCTTCCATAGTTTAAAACTGATTAATTTGGGCAACTGCCCCCTTGATTCCATAAGCTCATCCCCAGCGCTTCTTACCCTATAAAAAGCATTATTCAGAATAGCGGTTTACAGCAGCCACTAAGGAAGATAGCAACACAATGAAATCCCAAACAGTAACAACTAATTACACATTGATTCAAAATCCAGTTAAAACTATGGAGTTTAACTAATTCAATAAAACTGATGAACTTGAGCAAGTGATGCCATCTTTTCAAAGTCTGATAGTCATTTACACCTCCAGTGCCTCCCTGCTGCCCCCTAAGTAATCCCACCACCTCCTGGGGGCAGTACCACTCACTTTGGAAACCAGTGACTTAAGTTGTAAAATGCTTCACCCTTAGTGCTGGTATAAATTAGGTGGTACCATCACTGTTTCACCATCAATGGGAAGAGGCAAGTGACCACATAGACTTGACCTGGGAGAGTTTACTGGCTCTGCAAAGTGTCAACAGTCTGGATTCTGCAACTGCAATGATTTGCACACAAACCACATGTAACAAATGATGATGCTCATGCCTCCATCCCGCCCATCCAGCCAGACCCTTCCAATCCCATCTTGTCCAAGAATCCCAGAAGCACAGCACTGGAAGGAGCCAGCTTGTGTCACACCCCACCGTGGGAAACTGAGAAGCTAACTGGAGGGGTGGAGCACCCGTTCCACGGCATTCCTCCTCTGCCCTGTGACACAGCCTGGGAGCAATAAGAGATGGAACCACAGGACGTACAGGCAGACATGCTTTGCCTGAGCATGGTGTATGCAGGCACCATGTGCTATATACACAGCCAAGTAATGTATTGGTGCTATTTCAGGTAAACATTGAGTTGTGGCTGATCACTTCTGTTAGCAAAAGAAATAAAACATCTAATTGCAAGTGAATGTGGTTTAATGCTCTTAGGCTTGGTGCACTCTTTAGATCAATGTTTCTGGAGAAAAGCCTGAAGTGTTTGGTTATTTGTTAATTGGTTCAGTTGTACTTTAATTTCACCTATACTTGAAAACAGTTGACAAAAACGAACTGGAAAAACTGAAGACGAAATAATACATAATTGCAAGGAATGTGGTTGCTCTGCTCCAGTATTGACCAGACACACAGTACTACCAAAATATATGCTTGGGTCTATTTCCACCCACTTAAAGAATGCCCATTAAAAAAGGTACTGAAAAGTCATACTGCTCACTTATGTTTGCTTGACAGCAAAGCACAGAAAGCAGTTTCTGAAGAAGTGTAAGAGGCAAGAACAACTGGGCCCTCTGCTTAAGCATAGATGGAACTGATTTGGAACAAAGGAAGCCAGGAATTAATGATAAACAATTCAAATTAAAAATCAGTACTCAAGTTCTACTATCCAGTTGCCCCTTTAACTAATGTTACTTTCCATCCCAATATTATTGCAAGAAAGGATGCTGTTATGGTTCAGTTTACATATTGGCCAGTGTGGTGTAGTGGTTAGTGTCTTGGATCATGACCTGGGAGACCAGGGTTCAAATCTCCACTTGCCCATGAAGTTCATTGGGGTTGACCCCCTGGGGGCCAGTCTCAGTCTAATCTAGGGTTGTTGTGGGAATTAAATGAGGAAGGGATGAATTATGTGTGCCACCTTTGGCTCCTTGGATAAATAAGTGGGGGATGTAAATGCAATAAAATAAATAATACAAAAAAAGTTAGGAGTGGCAAAATAAAGTATTAGTTGTCATTGTTGTCATTTGGCAGCGAAGACTGACAAGCCCACTTGGAGAATAACTTGATAAATCTAACTGGGCTAAAACTTTAAAAATCCATCAGGTTCCACACCAGGTAGCTCCTGCATATCTTCCCCCATGTTAAGTAAAATTACGAATTGCCAGAGAAGCCACTTTCGTCTTAAGGGTGTTGCTGTCGCAGGGAAACAAAAGTGCATAACTTTTCATTCCTGGCACACACACAGGCCCGTGAGAGAGAAGAAATACTGGAAGGAACTTGATTTCCCAGTTGCAAAACCCCTTCACCAGCCTTTTGCCTTCAACATGCAGGAATTATATACTTTTGTTTTCAAAAAGTTGGGTTAATATATATAATATATATATTGCCCAAGAAACCAAACCTGTGCGCGTCCCAGCATCACAGGAGGCGGAGGCGGAGGTCCAAAGGGGCGGAAACGGTGCCGCTGGAGAAAAGCAAGGGTGGGGTGGTAGGGGCGTCCGTTCCGACGACTCAGTTTGTCGCGTGCGAAAAGGCTGGAAAAGGGGCGCTTCCTCTGCAGTCTCAGCGGGAGCTGCTGCCGCTGCCCGGGGGACAGGCAGAAGCGTGCAGGCGGCCCATCCCCGCGTTCCCGGGGCGGCAAGAAAGATTCGCTTGCCTGCTGCTGGTGCCAAACTCCAGAGCGCCGCTCTCCCCTTGCGCGCAGGCGTTCAGCGCTCCGCCCGCTAACGAGGAAACATGGCCGGGGAGGGGGGGAGGGAGGGAGGAGTGGGAGCGGAGTGCCTCCGGGAAGCGGAGAGACTCAGCCCCTCGCTTGCCTAGGGGAGCCTCAACCAAGGAAGGAGAGCGCGCTCAGCGCCGCCGCAGCCTTGCCAAGCGCCCCATCTCCATCGCCTTTGCGCGCTCCGGACGCGCCCTCCTCCCGAAGACTTTAAAGCAACAGCAGCCGCTTTAGAAACCAAAGGCTTGGAAGGAGAGGCAGGCAGGAAGGTCTGCCCAAAGCCACACGCCGCCTGCTCACTGGCCCGAGCCGGCCCAGCTGCAGATTTCCGTTGGCTGCCCGGCCTGCCAGTCGCGCTCATTGGCAAAGAGGGAGAGGGAGGGAGGCGAGACACGGTTCTTTTGTCATCTCTGGCTTTTGCAGCAGAAAGAGTTGCAAAAGAGCCCGGTCTCAGGCAGCGCCCCTCCGGAGTAGGCTTTGCAAAAGGCTCCTGATTTTGCTGCAGGATCTTGTCCCGCGATAACGCAGAGTTAAGTTCCACAAGGATACAGACGATCTCACACAGAAGACCCAAAGCCATCTTCCTCGCACGGATTCACACACATTAAGTTCAGCAATTCTTACAAACAACCCTGCCGGGTAGGCAAGCATTACCTGCATCGTACCGACAGGCCCCTTGTGGCCAAGTGCAGTCGAGGCCACACAGTGAAGTCCTGGCAAAGGTTGGAGTTGCAATTAGGACTTTGCAGCACAGTACTTCACTGCCATGTCCTGTCAAGTTCCCATGAGATGCCCTTTTCAATCCCAAGGAAACAAAGGGCACATTCCCACCATACATTTAAAGCACTAGGAAGCCACTTTAAACCATCATGGCTTCCCCCAAAGAATTCTGAGAGATGGAGTTTATAAAGGGCACCGAGTTGTTAGAAGACCCTCCCCACCAATTCCCCTCCCAGAGCTACAGTCCTGAGTATACTAGAATCAGAGGTGCACCTAGGCTCCTTTGTGCCCTTGGCAAAGAACTGTAATGGTGCCTCTGAAGCTGGGAGAGACCATGGACAAAAAACTCAAAAAGTTTGCTTTTCAACACCTTTCATGCTCTGCCACTTACTTCCTCCACAGCCATCAAGGCAATAATGCAAGGGCCACTGGGAACAAGGTTTAAGGAACCAAGGGCAAGGAGTGGCCTGCAAAGGTTTAGGAACCACTGGTCTAGTGAGATGTACCAATGGGACAGTTTTGGATGTTGCTCTTAACAAAAAACCAGGACTGGTTGAAGACATTTTGCTCTGTGTTGAGCGACAGGATGCCAGCCCTTCTCATTCCATATGCAGAAGCCAATTTGCCTGGCAGCTGTATCAGACTTCAGCATGGTCTGCCCCTCTCCTCCACCCAAGGACAGCTGTCTAGCTTAGGCACACCACTTTCCTGACCCTCAACTTCACTCTGCCTGATCCTGGGGTGGGAAACCTCTGACTCACCACATGTTGCTGGGCTAGAGTACATCTCTCTGACCATTTATCATGGTGGCTGAGGCTGATCGGGGTTGAATTCCAACCAACATCTAAAGGGCCACAGGTTCCCCATCCCTGACTGGCTAGGAATCCAGGCTGATATGTTTGTTGGTAATTTAGTTTTTTATTGAGATATGTTTTAAATAAAGAAAAAAATTAAAGTACATATAACACATCAACAACCACAACTGGGGTACATTTCAGCAGGTAAATCAACAAAGGACAGAGGATCAAGAATTGGAGGTGTGGGGGGGAAAGGGTCACCTCAGGGAAGAGGCAAGTAATGACACATTCAGTGTTTAGGTAGTTGCTTAGAACCAAAGCATTTGACAAACTCACATGAAGGACCGAAATAGTTTGGGAATAATCCCACACCACAAAGTACAGCGAGAATCTGGAGGCGGGGGGCTCCTTGTTAATGTAACACAAATGAAAACCTTGTGACTGAAAAAGGTGACTTGCCTTTAAGTCCCCAGATTTGTGGACTATGTCCTGTAAGTTTCTTGGCCACTGCCCTTTGCCATACCCTGTTCCACCACCCTGCCAAAGAAAAATGGGCATGAGGCCTCCAGTGGTGCGCAACTTCCATGGAATTGTAGAATCACAGAATTGTTGTGTTGGAAGGGATCCCAAGGGTCATCTGGTCCAACCCCCTGCAATGCAGGAATCTCAACTAAAGCATCCATGACAGATGGCCACCTAACCTCTACTTAAAAACTTCCAAGCAAGGAGAGTCCACAACCTCCAGCGGTTGACCATTCCAGAGTGGTTACAGTTAGCCAATAGCACAATCAAAACTTTGTACAAAGTGTTTTGCATATTTTCTGGAAAAAATGAAATTTGGGATAAACCTGGGGGAACAAGGTATTTCAAGGAGTGTTTCTAACCAGCATTTGTCAACCCATGCCTTGAGATCTGCTGGGAGGGCTGCTACAGCTTATTCTGCAGCGGCTTACAGCAGGGCCTTCTTGCTTATATAGGCACTATGGCTGTAGAAATCCTTTCCATTGAAGGGACACTTGACTCCCCCACCAATGTTTCCTCAACAATCACTGAAGATGTACTTGTTCTGCTTGGCCTTTGGGAACTGGTTGGCTTAGTCTGTTCACCATGACTCATGCAGGCACTGGTTAAGATTGGTGGGAAATCTGTGAGCTTTGATCATTTGAATGTTGAATCCGATATCATTGCAATGCATACCCTGGTCTTAAACTGGGAACTCTGAACATAAGAAGAGCCTCCTGGATCAAGCCAACAATGGCCCAGCCAGCATCTGGTCCAGCATCCTGATCTCACTGTGGCCAACCAGATTCCCCAAAAGGAAGCCCACAAGAAAGCCCTCTACCCTTTTGTGATTTCCAGCAACTGGTATTCATAAGCATTTGTTGCTTCTGACCATGGAGGCAGAGCATAGTCTTCATGGACTATAGCCTTATGCTCCCCCATGAATGTGCCTAAGCCTCTTTTAAAGACATCTAAGTGGGTGGCCATCACTGCCTCCTTTGGGAGAGAGTTCCATAGTTTAATTCTGCTCTGTATGAAGAATGACTCTCTTTCATCCGTGTCCTGAATCTTCTAATATCCAGCTTCATTAGATGTCTACGAGTTCTAGCGCTATGAGAGAGGGAGAAAAACTTTTCGCTATCCACTGGTAGTGTAAAGATATTATTAGGTTAAAATGATGGTGGTGGTGGTCAGGAAAGCCCTGACTGAAAGAAGTTCTGGAAAAGAGGCACGCTGGTTCCTTTACCCTTTCAGAAACAGTTCTCTTGTACTGTACTGTAATAGCTCTTGTGTGACCAGTTTCCTTTAATTTCAGGAGAGCAGGAATGCATTGCGTTTTCTAACCAAACAAAGCCAGACACGACAACTTGAGCTGAACAGGAAAGGAGCAAGGAAAGGAGCAGGACATCCCAGGTTCCCTTTGCCAAATGTTCCTCCTTCCCTCCCCCCACTCTGTGAGCTGCAGCAGCACACTCTTGAGGGCCTGCCAGATAAAGGAAGCTTGCGATTTTCCATGAATAGATCACACTACAATGTCAGAATACAGGAAACAGCGCAGGAAAGGAGCTAGTAAAAGCCACTAAATTGTAGTGCATTTCTCAAGCCAAGTTACACAACTGAGCAAAAGGTTACTTCTGGTCCACGGAAAGAACAGAGAACACAAGGGCTACTCTGCAAACAAATTGGAAGGCTCCAAAATGCCTTTTTTGTTGCCATTGCCTCCCATAGGAATGTGGCTGGAAAGAGCTCTATCTCAGGTTATTAAGAAGCTGTGCAACAGGGATGGTGCTGAACAAAAGGGTACCCTAAAGGTCTTCTGTCAGTGAAAGAACAGGAGACTGCAGCCATCGGTATTAAATTTCCATAGAAGGATGTTTGTTGCACAGTGAAGACCACTGAAAAGAGAATCTGCAAAATTTTTCTCCTTAAAAACTCTGGAGCTGCAAAGTGCGCAGGAATCTTCACTAGTTCAAAAACATGCCACAAGAGATGAACTCAAGCTCATTTGTTAAAAAGTCACAGAAATAACCCATAAATTCCCAATACGCCACTCCCTATTTGTCTATATCAAAGACAACCAGGATAATAATAGGACACTACTATTTTCAGGTAGGATGCAAACACATACCAGCAAATTCAGGATGTGCATTTACACTTGATTGGGAGGTCTTGTGCAACAAATCCGCTTCTCTAAAAGATCAGACATTTTGCGATAAGGAAGGTGGCAGAAAAATGCACTGGAGAGTGTGGGACTACACTTACTTAGCACCACACTGTCTAACCTCCCTGCAAAAAATCAGGATAAAGGCTCCACATACAGGTCATCGGGAAGCACTTTTACATTCTTTTATTCCTGTCTCCCCAGTGGGTGAAGACAGTTATCAGGTGGCTTTAATATACATAGCTGCAAAATCTTGTAGCACATCTGGGTGCTACCTTCAAGGTTCTTGGTGGGGATTAAAGTAGTCTGAGACCTATGACCTGCTTGCATCTCTAGAGCCATTCAAATACCCAGCAGTTCAATGAATACTTCTCCATATAGATGTGCACCCTATACTAGAACCTCACAATCTACCAGCTGGAGCCAGGTGTAAAAAAACACACAGTTAGAATTGAAAAAACAGTGCTGAAGTCAGTTAGGCTGGCAAGCACACAAGGCCTTCTTGGTGGCGGCCCTGCAGTAATGGAACTCTCTTTATGTTACCATTCATTGGCCCCTCCAGCTCTAACATTCAACAAAGCCTTAAACATGTGCATTTGTTACTATTACCTTAAAGAGAGTTTAGGTGATCCAGTTCGGTTTCTCTCATACACATCTTTGTCTGTATCCATACTCCATGTTCTGCCTAATGCTCTGTTGCTTTATCTCCCTTCTCTGAGCTTCGTGAGTTCTTGGCCAGAAAAGCAACTAATAAATAAGCAGAATAATACATATTCTGAGTTGAGGAATTTTTATGCACCAGAACTGAACTGAACTTATACAGCCCTTTGACACAAAAGGCCACCCCCTGTTAGCATTCCTCATTACACCAGCATGGTGTCATGGCTAGAATGTTGGACTAAGACCTTGGAGACCAGGGTTTAAATCTCCCAGTGGACCTGGGAGACCTTGCCGGGGGGGGGGGGAGGCTGTCGCTGCCTCTCAGCCTAATCCACCTCACAGGGCTGTTGTGGGTATTATATGAAGAAGGTGAGAACAATGGATGCCAAAAGGCGGAAGACCGGCGGGAGGTTTGAGCACCTTCGTATCGACAGATCTAGGAGCCTCCCCTATCCAATTGAAAATCGATAAAAAATGGATTTTGGCCGTTAAAATATTCTCCACCCATTTTAAGATTATATGCATCAATGTCTATATTCACCCACTTATGAAACAAACTGATCTTAAAAACATCTGGAACGAACTGGAAGACTGCATTCTCCTTGTCTCAAATAAGTTTCCCTCTGCCTCCTTAATTATTGGTGGGGATTTTAATGCAAGGCTAGGCCACTCAGACGAACAATTAATCAAGGAAAGTAGAATGGGTCTCCTAAATGCTAATGATGAATATTGGCCCCTATT